GAAAGATAAAGACTCAATTATACAGGGATTCAGCTAATCCGGTTTATTTGTTACAAATGAATATTCAGGAATATTTGCTCAAAAGGGACCAGATTTAACTTTTGAGAGGCTGCGGCAAATTAAGGTGTCATCCACATTACAAAAACACAACTACGTGAAGGTAACAGAGAATTCGAGCTTCGGTTTCTCGCCTTCATTATTTTACGGACAAGTCCTAAAACAGTGGAAGAGGATACGTTACATCTGCCTCTGCCACCACAACCAGTAGTTTGTTAGTGTCCTTATAATACCGAGTTGGTTTTTTCAGATGCTGTCAGTGTAAGGTTGATGCCACGTTGTCTTTCTCTCTATAGAGACAGTGTGTTTTTACTCTGATGCGACCAACTTGTGGCTAGTGTATTTAATCGCTGCTAAGTTTAACACCCAAACTACCATCGGAGGGCTTGACTTCAGAAAGAAGTATAAAGCTTCCTTAGATGGCTAATACTCCAAATGTCTAAGAACAGGATGAAGAGGGTGCACACTAAAAAATAACACCTACCTGTACTCAAAAGTACTGTGACACTTTGGCTTTATTTAGTCTTCGGTGCAGTTATAAGTCAGCAGCTATTTAAAAAAGTACGACCATAATTTAGAGACAAACAGCCTAGAAAATTGCTACTGGGTCAAAATCTCAGGCAATTAACTTCTGACAGCTCCCGCAGGCCGATTTGGCGATAAACTGATCAACATCACAGTGGAACTACTTTAACCTTGCAGCCCTAAAGATTATTTATTGAACAGAATGTCAGTCAGACATAAGTCATATGGAAAACAACCTAAGGTTATTTTGACTAACGGATCAAGAGAGGTAGTTCCGAAGGTCCGTATTCCGTCGAATCGCCATTCACAAAGAGAACTTCCTAATTTTCTAATATTCACACTCTCGTAGGTGTAATATTAATCCGCTTATGTAAAGAGAATGCTTCAGTGTTTGCATCCGAAAATTTTGCTCACGTTGGATAGTAGCAATAGCCAGCATTGTTCAACCAGCAAATTCACGACAACAGTCAATTGGAAAAGGCGCAAAGTCATTTCAAGCCAAAAGACTTGTGTTTGCTTATTGAAACAAACTTTGTACAGTAATGCTACCAAAACTGAAGTGGAAAAAATAGATGATATTTGGTAGGAAAGATAGCAGCTTATAGGCTGCAGCCAATCTACACTGAAAGGCGGAAAAGCCCTGTACAGCTCGTTTATCTTTATTGGGAGCCATCATCCGCGCGTGTCTCACGAGACTCAACGTGGTCATAAACCCGTAACACCTCGGATAGTTGTTTCGAAACTTGAAATTCGGTCACGAGCGGCATCAGGATTCACACTGCCAACAAGGAATAAAAGTTCATCACACCACTAACAAATTCCTAATAGGTGGAGGGAAGAATAAAATTAATTTAACTGGTGAATTCTTCGTCTTAGAAATGGCAGCTGGATGAGCCAGCCAACATGCAGGGTTACGTGAAGTGGGTCCCGTGACTGGAAGAGTAGCACTATATCCTGTATAAGTAAGAGTTGATCACACTGCTAATCAGCCACTCAGGTTCAAGCTACTCACCGGGAGGTCGCTAGTCCTTGAGGGATGCGCGATTCTGATGACTACCAGTACGGATGAACCGGATATACAGTGCTTCTCGGCCCTTCAGCACAGATTGGCTTCACCTGTAGTAGGAAACATGTATTTAAAAATGCCCTTGATATTTTTAGTCTAAATCCCTGTTAGGATAAATGGTGACTTAGTAAAGCGGACGAAGAAGAACATTAAATACAACCTCGTAAGGCCAACTAATCCCTCCTGGATGGGCATTGACACAAGAGTCAGCATTCCTAATATTCGTCAGATTTTCATTCTAAAACCGTCTTGTGAGTAAATAGGTTCATCTCTCTAAAGTGCTAGCACCAACCGCTCTTGAAATCCAATAGCCGNGTGCCGCGCTCATTCCAGTTCTACATGTCTCAGGCTGGCTTTCTCAACGGGGACTTTTTCGGAAAACATCTTTACCCAAAGCAAACTAGGGTATGTGTTTTTGCGTTTGTGAATTAACAGGTTGGAGATTCTTCGCCGAATTTCCTTCAACAAAATAAGTGAAAATCGACACGGGACTTCTTGGTGTACATTGTCACTTTTAGTAGGATACAGCTGCATAGTAAACTCATGGAGTGCATATTCATATCTTGCAGTCAAAAGAAACAAGTTCACTGCTACGAAAAATCAACGCTTAATGGTCAGTTTATGCAGATCAATGCAAATCCGCCAAATCTACATTTCGATGGCTGGTGAAACGGGGGTCATCTACCGAAATAGTGGGGCTTGTAAGCATACTAAGACGTTGGCAATACGTGATAGAAAATACGCCTACTAAGACACTTTGAAAAGGGTTTTCTGTTTCCCGCACATTTTCATGAGAAACTGTGGAGCGTACGTGTGGAAAGCGTCCTACGTGAACAATAACTTCCTAAATACTCCCATAGTTTGAACAAGAACAGTAGTGAGCATCAATGTTTTCGGGAGCTTCTCATCAGATCAGCACGTATTTAATGGTTAAAACAGGAGCGAGAAATGAAATACGCAGCGAAGATTGGTTAAAGAAATGTAATGGTGGAGACAAGAATCATTGGTTGTCTGAACCTCCACGTCGCATCTAGTTGGATGCTGCGAGACAGTCTAGCGGGCAGTTAAGTGACTTGGCCGGTATATTCGTGTCACACGACCAAGGCAGACACACCGTTCGTACGAAACGTTTTTGACAACATAAAACCGGGTTCAGCACGTATAGCGATTGCCTCGGCTATAGTCAAGCAACGCTGTTGGATACGCAGTAAGTGAAATGAAGTGGCTCATTCGGAATGACTGCAAGCCAGGTGTCAACTAAGTGGGATGCAATTGAGCCTTTGGCTGAACTGTTGGGTCTCATGTATTGTCTCAGTAAGTTGCCGTGCCGTGCGCCCAACACACTCCACTGCACAACAGCAGGAGTAAAAATACACAACCATATTCTGGGTGGGGACTGGCATCTTGTCTTTGAGGTTTAGGTATAGCGAAGGATTGGTTGCAAACCAAGACAGCACAGTTCCAGCCAGAAACGAGATTGAAACAAGCAGCGATCGACCATGTCTGCTAACAGATCGCCTTTATACGGTAAATCCAACGGTTGTGCTAGGCGGTTGGATAGGGTGATCGGAAATTCTGGGTTATAAATCTCTCCGGATAGCCATTGGCTCGGAGCATGTTAGCAACGTGCTGCAGTCCAGAGTTCAGTGTATCAGCACAGTAAATACACCTTGCTAGGTTCGACTGGCAAACAAGCGGTTTAACAAGCCCTTCCGGAACGATGACTCATGGTTACATCAAACGCAGCAAGATGGAATGTGCAGTGTCCTCCATTGTTTGTTTTTGTAATGGTTCGTATGATGAGTTCTGTTTGTTCCAGATAAATTTAGTGGTGTGCAATAAACAGGTGGCTCAATATTATTTTCAGTTTTACATTTGGTTCATTTTCAGCCTGCTCACAATGCTGGTTCTTCATCTGGTGAGTGACGGATGAATTCTTTCTTTACAGCCCTTGAACGTAACGGTCATTTGCACAGTACGGCTTTTACTGAAGAACCTTTTTCGCCAGCGTCATCAGCCTAACATCAGTTTTGGATTTTAGCTGTACGGAAAAATGCAGCTGAAGTTTGAAACTCATACAGGGAACGATCAGGGTAGTGTATATACGGGAAATGTGGTAATATGAGCACTTTTTCATTACCACATTGACACATCTCCAACATGCAGCGCATTCCTTTTGATTTTGCTGCTTAAATGATAACTCAGGGCAATTCAGTCCCACGACATCGTCATTCTGAGAATGTAGTGTTCTGATAATATTGCGTTGCTTGCAAGGGGATGAGTCTACTAGCGACTTGAACTTCGGCGGAAAGAAAATGCTTGACGAATAAAAAACTCAACTAACCAGCCGTAAATTCAGGCGAATTAGGACTGAACCATACCGAGAAGCCATCAGAAGTCGAAGGTCGAGTGATGGCGAACCGCGGAATTTATCGGCTGGCACTAGATACTACACAAATTGCAAGTTTTAGATCATGCGTTGAGAAATAGGACCAGATGTACATACACTGAATGGTATTCGGGAGAAATAACTCATCCTCGATTGATGAACTGATCATACTGCATAGGTTGCGCTGGCTTGGCCACGTGCTGCGTATGCCAGTCGAATGACTTCCTCGAGGGGCTCTTTTCGCACAATCACGTGAAGGGTGGAAGAGAGCCAGAGGCGGTCAAACAACTACTTGGCAACGATATGAAAGCCATTACCAGCAAACTCAGCTACGCTAGTCACTGCCGTCTTCCTGAATGGGGACCCCAAGACGGGCCACATCAATGGCTAGAGACATTGTCACTCGCGCCCTCAATGGCACTCGCACATCCAAGCTATTGCCTTCAGTGCATAGCTCCTTTTTCAACCCCCCCACTTGACAGCCCACTGACAGTGCTGGATTTATGCACCAATTTATCATCTCCCGCCTGCAATGTGCAGCTACCTACCCCCCCCCCAATCATCGGTGAACGAAACTGCGGCAGCTACAACCACTGTATGGCGATTACGCGTGTGTGAACCATAGCCAAATAAACGTCAGAACAATATTCATCAGCAGGTATAATCAGATATAGACTGAGGTGAACAAATAGACTGCGTGTGGGGTTTGAGGCTCCACTGCTGACCTAGACCGACAGCTGTCGAATACAGTATTTTCTCTCTATCAGCTCATCTGAACGTAGCTACTAGATTCATATTCTAGAAGGAAGTATGTCGCACCGGCTGCGATTCTCATGTTAGGGTGGGGATCATTTAAAGTGAGGATTGCTAGAAGGGGATTGCTGCGCAAGCCCTCGTCAGATTCCATTCAGACCTGATGTACTACAATGACTTTCGCTGTTCCAACCCATTCTACTCCAATAGGGGGACTATGTATGGCTTCCACCACAGAAACCCTCGGAATTTGCCGTACCCATTGGCGGCGTAGTCAAAGAAGTACAATCTGATGGATTTCTGGTCGAAGATGATGATGGAAAAGTAAGTCTTTTTTTCTTCTAAAAACGATCTGTCACCACCCTGTTTGAGTGGGGTGCGGTTACAATGAGTTTGTCTCTCCTTGATACTAGGACATAGGTCGAATAACAACTCGGAATAATGCCAATTATTATTGACTGCGGAACAAGTATTGGACACTGGAAATTTATTTCCGTAAAATTTTGGGGAGGATTTTGGGATCATGAGGCCTAAAAGTGTGAAAAATTGTGTTACCGGTTCATCAAACACACGATCGGTCAAAAGGAAGTCTGGAATGAAAGTGGTGAGCTTGGATAGCTTACACCGCATTTATGCAAATGGACAGACGATGTGCCGAGAACAGCGTAAAACCCATGATAACCAAGATAACTAAACTTTATATTTTTATGCATAATCTCTGTCTGGAACATGGTCGTTTATCTCGCTGTATTATGATAGTTGATAAAATGGCACAGACGTTATTGTTCCATTAGGCACAGTAGTCTTTACCGAGTTTGACTGACCCTGAACACCTAAATCTTATTCTGGCCACATGGTCATTAAAACGATCTTAACGAGTCAACCTATGCAGTTGAGGCTTTATCGGCAACTGTTAATGATTGTTGTGATGCACTTACGGATTGAAGAGGCAAATTGGGTCCATCAAACACAATCGCACTTTACAGTAAATCACCAAGATAAGGCAAGTGATCGTGCGATGGCAAGATAACGTTGTGAGGATACCTCAGATTTTTAAGGGTATTCAAAAGCCCGCCTGAACAATGTTTGGGCGTCGTAAACACTACAGGCATGATCAAGCTAAAACTGCGATCAGCTTGAATAAACCCCAAATGTGAGCGAAAATTGTGGCACCAGCCTAACAGAAAATCATGGTTTGTCGGAGGCGACCGAAGTTAATGACTTGTAGGTTGAAAGAAAAAGAACGGATTGTATCTTCCGTCCGATCGAATTAACCTGCCGGAGTAGGGTAAAAGACGGATTACTATCACGTGATTTGGTCAAGTTTTGGTTACTTACTACTAAGGACCTGAAAGCAGTGTATCGGTTCAAGCTCGTTAACCCGTCTATAGTTACGTTTCAGCGAGTATAGTTCACAGGAAACATTGTGGCGACGACCCAGAAAACCATCGATTAAGTTTTTTCATTTCTTTTTGTATCTCATGGTTTTTAAGTGTTTTTAACCTGCTTTTATCTTTGAAGGTAGTGAAGGTCTCCAAACAAACAGAACTAAAGCCAATGCATCCGTCGTCCGTGGATGGAGTTGACGACATGATCGCCCTAGGTGAACTGAACGAGGGTGGCATACTAAGAAATTTACATATTCGATACAAACAAAACAAAATTTACGTAAGTTTTAGGTTGCTTTCAAACAGGCTTATGCTGACTTGTTCTCAGACGCAATTAACAATCCCTTTTGAAATGAATTTTTCTCGTCCGCTTGTTAGAACTTTCCTAAAAATGTCAATATGTGGCTGAAATTAGATAACGTAATGTGTTATTTATTCATGCATGCAAGATTCAGTGAGAAATTTCTCTTCACCAAACTTATGCACCCAACATTGGTTCAAAGAGGAAGCCGAATTCACCAACAAAGAAGTAGCAGGGTGGTAGGAGCGTTAAATTTCCTGGTTTATTTCATGAATATCTTCCTCATCAGTGACACTTTCAGGTTGAAGAGAATTTAAGCAACGGGAGAGAATAGTCCCTTTTCAACACTCCCGAATACGCTTCACCAGCGTGGAAACCATCTATAAGCTAGCTAATCATTATGGAAAAGTTTTGGAACCGATATTCATTAGTTGCAGATGGCTTCCTTATTTCTGTGGAGCAACAGTGTATCTTGGTTAGTAGTAAACAAATGATCAATTTAGAACAACTGTTACATCTTTAGAACAGTAGTATTCTGAAAGCAGATGGTCGGCGCAGCAAAGCAGGACGGAATTAGCGCCATACTGTTGGAGCGATTTGCACATTGGAACCCGGATGTGAGTGTGGCTGTTTTTGTCCCTCTGTCTGTCCACACCGAAGAGTCTGGCTGAACCTGACTTCCGTTCTTTGTTAGCAGGAAATTTTCTTGCACGTGGTGATCTCATGTGCGTCATTTGATACACTGGCTTTCAACCGGCCAATATGGATTTTGGCTGAACGTTCCTGCAAGGATTTGAGTCGCCACATGGCTCTCTTCAGCTTAGCTCACAAAATTCCATCACATTACCAAATGCGGAATCGCTAAAGTTTCTTATGGTCATTCGTATGAAGACTTACCATCATCGTGTCATGGCACTAGGTACTTTTACGAACGTCCAGTGGTGTGCACCAAGAATGTAACTAAATGTAACTTTTCATCTGGCTCTACTGAACCAACCCAGTATCACATGTGGACATTGGCAGTATCGGCGTGACCGTTGAGCTCTTCAGTTCTCCTCCCAACAGTACGAACCAAAGTTGCATGTATAAAAAGGATAGTCACCTCCGCTTCTGAAATAAGGTGACAGACCTTGAGTTGCTCAATAAAATATGTACTGCTGTGAACCATCGCGTTTCCAGGTCTCCAATCCTCAGACAGTCTTTCGTATGCATCTGTTCATTGAGGTTCGCGAAACAATCATACTTCGGCCATGTCCTGATTTTTTAAATCAAGATCAATTTCTGTGCCGAACTTACCGACTTCCATCCGTCGTTAGTTTATCATTTCGATTATTTCCATACCAATTAGTGCCACAAGCTGAACTTCAGTCTGTTAGAGAGGATCTTTCAACTGCGTGAAAGTGTAACATCTGCACAACATAGTCCACTAGGATGACTTCAGGCTCGCCGGACAGGTTGAGCGATGTACCCGTTGAGTGTTTCTATTTATCCGATCCCCTTTGCATCGCCGACTGGGATCAATAAATTCAATGGCTATCTTTCTGTTTTACCTATAAGCTGGCTAGTACTTAACGCAGTGCAAATTAGAATTTCACCTTACGATACCTGTTAGAATAACCATGCTTGTTTCAGTTGCCTTGACAGTCGGGTGATTTACTAAGGGACGTAATCCATGAACCTGATAGGAGTATATGGCACAAGCTAGCGGTTTACATATTCGTCAAAATATTCGACAGCGCGTACTTTCTTACTAGTGTGTATCGTCCTACATTTCTTCCCGGACACACGTACATCACGTACATCACGCAGTTCATATTTTGAGACAAGGTAGCCAATGATAAACATATTTTGGGGGAGCTGTAAATAGTAGCCGGGCTTGGACTGGACACTACCAGTAAAATCCATAATCATTGACAACCGGAGGGGCAACTTCATACAGTGAATAGCCCTATCCTGTCCCCCGAATGCATTCAGCAAAACAAGCCGAGATAAACTCGGTTCACAAATGATGGTGGGATTCGTGGTAGCTAATTACGGAGTAAAAACTGGTTTGCGTGTGGAAGCAAGCTGCGATTAATCGTTGTCACCTATTTAGGCTGATTGGGTGACCCACCTATATTAATAACAGAGCTTTGGATTTGGTTGGGATACCATATCACAATGCAAGTTGGATGAAAAATCGTCCAGCTGTAGCACTCTTCTGGTGTCCAACGGTTATGCCACCAAAAGGAAGTACGAGGGCTGGGATACTGTTAGGTTCCCCGATGCAGAGGTCGGATTTGAACTACGGACCTTCCGGTCAATAAATTCGAGCTGTAACAACTGATTCATCTTACAAATCTCACCAGCTGGGTAAAATAAGTGGTTGCTACCAAACCCACTTGATCTCTACCACGGATCTGTAAAATTCACCACGCCTATTTTCATTGAATTGCCCAGCGACGCAACTGATTTACATGGCAGCAGAATCAAAGTGTGTGAGCCCCTCCGGGTGGTCACATTGAGGAGGAGACTTATTGCGCCGCCGGCATTGAGCATGAAGAGTTGATCAGAGGAAAAAAGAAAGGACAGTTGGATTGATTCAAGTAGCGAAACACAAATCGCGTGAACAGTTCAGTAGTATGTATTATGTTTAGTTAGCAACGTAAAGCTATGGTAGTTTATCATCTGGTCAGCAGATCAATGAACTCAAGTGGCGGGAGCGTTGTCAGAAACCGACTGTCGTGCTGTGCAATGTTGATGGCCAATCTTGCTGTACACTGTTGCGCTGTTGGTCTTAGTTGCCATAACATCGAAAAATGGAAATGCATGTCGGTGGTGGATGAGCCGAGGACCACATTTAACCTAATTATTAGCGAAATACACTCACTCCCAAACAAGTATGGTTTTATGAGAGACTAATCTGGAGCCAAGATGAATCTCTTGTTTGTGATGTTTCCAGGCAACTGAATGTGCTGCACCAGGCCGCCTCATATTTCATTTGGTACGATATTCGAGATGTCGCGATACATGTATGCGCTGAAAATTCTTCAAGGAATTTTCAGCAACCTCATGAGTGGTGCATTACATATAACCTAATTATTATCAATAGTATTAGCCAATTGTGCCTAATTTGGCCTGCTGTGACAATACGGCATCCTCAAAATTCGAAAATCTCGTTCAGTTTCCCGGTCATCCAATCAGCACGTCGCATATACTCACGGGTGTTTTCGCGCGCACATATATAATTGGTGCGCGCATCACCGCATGAGATGCGACTAGCGTCGCACTCTTATTGGCTTCCTGCGACGGGCAGGTGAACTTACCCCCCTCTCGTGCCTTGGGCGCGGAAGCACATGCGAGCAACGGAGTTTGGCAGTGAGGCGCATGGTGCGTCCAATCAGAACGTGCGGTAGGCAAACCAGTGCAGCTTCAACAAGCGGAGTGCGGAATCAGCGGTGAGCGTGCACATACAAGCAAAGGTGGCGAAGTCTAACCAAGTTCGACAGCCGAGTGATCTATGGCTGTCGGTGGTCTTCATGTGCAGTGGGGACGCAACGGTGGACTGTCAGTCTTCTTCCTGTAACTGACACAAGAGTTCGCTTCCCTTGCGGTCGCGAATGTTTGCAAGCAGAGCGAGTCAGACAACCTTGTTTTTTTTATTGGATATTAGGCTGTCGACGTGAGCGTCAATGAAAGTCGGATCAGTGAAGTGTCCGCCAGTCAGTTACTTCTCCAGATTACATTCCTCAAGCATCGACGAAATGGCAAACAAACAGACCTCGATAGTTCAATCATAGATGCTCGTCCGGCATGTTTCTCAAAGGATCCACGTGTTCTAACTATTAATCACTATGCTGACTGCGGACACAACACAGCTGCTGTCGACAGATGTTTCCATGGTCTATATTGTGGTGTACAATCCATTGCTGAGGATATTTCAGGAGACTGATTGCGAAGTTTATACTAGTTGGGAACCTGTGTGACACAAGAAGGACCGGTCGACCCCAATTTGTTACGATTGAATACTCGACTGATATCAACGTCTGTGAAGCGGAAGAAACTCCACACTTAAGGCTTGATCAGGTAGCTCACCGGTGCAGAATTTCGAAGTATGCAGTAGTAAAGGTTTTGCATGAGAGTAAACTTAACTGCAGTGCCAAGAGCTACATTGTCATGACCCGGAGATATGACACAACATCTGCTCGTTGCTATGTTCTTTCTTCTGTGTTACCGTGGCTAGTAACTTCACTTGTTCGCTTGACGTGATTTGAGTGAAATATACTCATTTTCAAACCGATTTGGTTTTGCGGGAGACTCATCTGGAACCCGGCTGAATCTGTTCACATCACTTGGATTTCTTCTTCAGGGTGACTTGAAGTAAAATTTACCCGAAAAGCTCCAGGAAAACTACTCAACTCAGACAGCTTCCCGTGTGAGGTCTTAACTGTATACAGCAGGGGTCTTTCACTAAACTATGGGATTCCTGTTCAATAATCCTAATATACGAACATGACTGTCACTGACCTATTGACCTGACAACCACTAACCCACCGCTACGCACAACTACGCCCTTCAATAACGCACTGATGATGTCACCTCGATTGGTGGTGAAAAGTTTGCAATCAAATTGCTCAGCTCAGCGAACCAGCCAGCGACCATCTAGCCTACCTGAGCTACCAACCTTTTCCTGACAGATAGTGTCTCAAATGCTGCAGGAACAATAACACCGTAACGGAGTCATACTATAAACTATACCTCGGCCCTGCTTGCGCGAAAAATATATTTCCAAACTATCCTATTTAGGACAAACAGATCTCGCCTCATCCAATGAAACCTGTCCGCTGCTATAGACTCTTTCAGCATTAACATCTGCTCGTGTTCCATTACGTTCGTCAGGGTGAGTGAAATAAACTAACGAAATCCGATAAGTGAGAAGTCAATTCCAAGTTTAGTTGCCGTGCGTCAAAGCGCAGTTGTTCCAGCTTCGTTCACCGGGGATACGGAGAATAAGGGAATGGGGGCTATGTGTTGGAGGCCATGGCCCGTTCGGTTCATTGACCTCCAACTGTTATGTTTGTCCGGTGTGGCATGGCAGCGTAAATGGGTTGACTAGTAAGGACTTTAAAGCTTCGTTGTTAAGTCATGGGCTGGCGAGCTCTCGGTTGTCTCCATCTAACAAGAGGTTGGACAAAGACGGCCCTGCGAGGCGAACGTTCTCCTGGCATACGAAGTGCATGGACTAACCAGCATAAACTGTGGAGTTTGACCAGTTGATCAACTGAAGGGGAATGTACTTTTACGAAGACCATCTGACGTACTTCAGTATCACTCATCTGGCGTTCCTTTCAGACTCACGTAATGCTTTGAGGGCGCCTATGGTAAAACACGGAGAGCCTTCAAAGGCTTTCCACACGCAGCTGCCTTTGACAGTCAAGCTGATGTCACGTCGGCTCCACAAATGTCGAGGATTAGCAGACGCTCTCCTGGCCTTCTCATTTCGCGAAGTGATTTCGTCTTTCACCGGATCCAGTAACTTGAAGGCGGATTCTGAAATGGCGCTGCCATCTGCTTCAAGCAGGGCTGTACGAGCTTCTTTTAATGGCAAATGCAACCATCCTTGTCATTTTAATTATAGGAGTGAATTAGGCCAACCGGGTAGCACTTCTGAAAATCTGTTTCAAACCAAGAGTAAGGCAACTAATATTCCAAAATCAATCAAGTTTCGATCATGGGGGTCAGCCGTATTCATCCAAGTAATTTGAACCTAAGTCCCAGAAACGGTGCACTAAAAAGTATGCGCTAGTTTAAAGACTAGTTACAAAGTTGTAGGGTTTCAAATGAACGTACATTGCATGGTGGCCATCACCATCCTTCACCGAAGAAGATAATACTTGAAATAAAATCTATTCTATTGTTATTCAGAGAACAGTAGATTTTGCTTCATTTTGCACGCATCGCATTTACTAGCAAAGAAGACACCAATAAAATAGTAACTGATTACGTACCGCATAGTACACCTGGAGTTTAGCGAGTTACCGTGGGTCAATAGTAGTAATAGTAGTGTGAACAAATCTGACATCGAAAATTGGACCAGCGGACATCTTTCCCCAACCAGATAGTACAAGGCGTATTAGTAAAGCAGGGAACACATTCGTTAAATCAGCTTTCAATGGTCCCAGGCTCACCCTATTCGGATACTCTTTAGACCGCTTACTTAGTTATAGTATGGTGCCTAAAGTTTGAATCTCACCCAGCGTCATTATGTGCCGATGCAGTACCGATTTGAGCCATGGTGGACAGGTAACTAGCCTTCGGCCTGCGTTTCAGTTGAGGGGATGCATTATTTGTGATACCTAATTGCGTCACAGCTTGTCTTCCGCTGGGTGAGGAATGGGCACCATAGTGGTCGGGACAATGGAGAACTGCTCATAAAATGATGAGGCGGGTAAGGGTTTAACCACTTCCACTCCTAGTAGAAATGTTCAAAAACCAGTCCGAACAGCTACAGGCTTGCGCTTCAAATCGAGGTTTAGAAAACAATAGTCACTCACTTCTTCAGTCGGCACAAACCGTCCTGGCTTGGTGGTGAAGCGTCCACAGGAAAAGATTTCAGTGAGTTGAAGTTGAAATTTTCCAATGCGATCTTTCCGCTTACCCTCCTTCACAGCTCTTTGGAATTTCTAGCATCGGCTTTTTGACAATATGGTTAATTACATTTCACAAATAAGACATTGTTCTAGGGATAGCCACTGTATGAAACTTCTAACATGTATAATGCGGCCCGCGCTGTCATTCATACGCCTAGATTTCATGACAGATTTTCTATAGCGGGGACAAATCAACACAGAAACAGTAAAACAGTGATCGATTTGAGTGTACAACAGTAATTACCAACACTGAATCTGATATTGAATCGAAATTTTTAAAAGCTATGCTGTTTAGAGTTTGCGTGCCTCAAGAACAGCCTAGTCAGAAGTACAATATTTTTCTCCCGTTGATTCGCAGACCTACACTGGATCTATACTCGTGGCTTTGAACCCCTACCAAGTCTTGCCAATCTATACAGCGGACACGATTCGGGCATACAGAAAACGAAAGATTGGGGAACTCCCACCACACTTGTTTGCAATCGGTGATAATGCCTACGCCCATATGAGGCGTTACAATCAAGACCAGTGCATCATCATCAGGTAAGACGAGCAGTATTGAATGGTCTAGAGAGCGCACGTGTTCACACAAATACATAAAACTGGCCTAACCCAACAACATAAGCATTGACAAATCAGAGCAATTTTGCACCATCCGCGTCATACGCATAACGTTCACAAATTACCGCCAATATTTTAGTATTGTGTCAGACATTCTACCCTCTGCAAAGTATTTCCTAATAACCTACTAGGTATTTACGAGTAAAGAGTAAGTTTCCGATTTATGGTTACCTGGTCTGCAGAACTGCAGCGCTTTTTGATAAGGTGGCACGCATCGGGAATGATAAATCACATGCTTACATGCTGATGTCATTGCCTGCTTCCTGCAAGTCGTGTTACATACCAGCGACAACCAGGTACTGTGCCTGGTTGGAGACACTACAAGATATGGCTGCCAACCGATGTCAGTGGTGATCTTGTTGTCAGTTTCTATCCAGAGCGCCTGAGTTAGTGCCTGGAGGTATAGGTACCTCGGAATGCTTGCGGTAAGCTAACACTAAGTCCCTTCCCCGTCCACCTTTATTCTTTTCTTTACAAAAAGGCTTTCAAATAAATCATGGTTGTACGGCAGCGAAGCAGAGCACTAATGCCATGCTGCCGATGATGATGGTGATGATGATGATGATGATGATGATGATGATGATGATGATAATTACATCTGATATAGCAGAACAGTAACATCTAGCATGAGAGAGCGCAGAGTGCAACAAATCACTATCAGACAAGGAGTTTTATGTGAATGAATCAGATAATGTGGGAATTCGGGGAACCTACAGCATTGATAGCCTGTTCATCCAGCGACACAGTGGATGGGGCCACAGACAGACTGAAATCCATTTGATCCTGTTGAGATTTCGGCAGCGTTGGGGATGCCCGCTCAGGCAATCCTTTTGTTGTTGGCTGTTGTTGTTGTTGCTGTTGCAACACAGAATCCTTTCCCATCCTACCATCACTGGTAGTGTCATTTGACTCTGTTCGTGCCGCAATCCCCTGTTCCATTTTATCCGTCTTGTAGTTGTATTGGGCTTTCGAACGACCCTAGGTTTTAGGATTAAGGCAAACGATGGGGTAATTTTACATCGTTCCGTTCCTCATATATTAAGTAAAATTATCAGTGAGAACATAAAAAGAAATGCTCAAGTTGCATACCCCACCTTTGGTTTGATTTCACATGTTGGCTAGTATTGAACACTGATGTCTTGCTGTCGATGTTGATGATGACGATGATGTTGATGATGAGTAGAGAGCGACCACACCTACCGAGCATTTAATTCGGTCGTCCTTGTGAAGGGCCGATGGATATCCTTTACTCTCTCTCCGCAGTATTTTTTTCACCACAATACTAATTACTTCCTATCAGTTCTGCTACTGGCATTTCATTTTATTTAGAAAATTAACAGTTTTCTTCCGACCACGGTAACTATTAGAGGATTTTCTTAACATCAGACTGTAGCTCAAAATTCATATTCAGGGCGACTTAGTTCAAGTTTAGGAAAGACTTATGTATACAAACGGTGAATTTTCAAATGCAGTGGCGGCTCTCTTTGTCTTGGGTACAACTTGATGACTTCGAGTTTTGTTCCATTTTGTTCGAATGCGAGAGGAAACTGTCGAAAGAACATCCCATGTAGAATTTGAGCGCGTCGTCAAGTTCATCATGGATGTAGATATGGAGTTCAGTACTTGACCAGAAAATGACTGATCACCATGCGAATCGGTCAGACCGTTGTACGTCTGCTCAGAGCTGAATAGATCTGGGGGGAAAGTAGACCCGAGGGAATAGGACAGGCCCACCAGCCGGTATGAATGTGATGATGCAACAAGGAGCATGGCACCAGTTGCACGTTTACCATCCACACACTTGCATCGTTTGTTGATCCTTTCAAGTTTTGGCATATTAACGTAAGTTCCAGACATAATTACCGTATGAATTTTCCTACGGACTAACCAGTAGCGCATATTTAGTGTCATAATTGGTAGATGACTCAGCGGCAGTTTCCTAGAAACCCATCGACTAATTTGAAGTTTACTTTTCAGCTGCATCCAGTCCAGCCCTAGAACTCATACGAGGCCCATTGCTGCTTGAAGCTGATTCGGTCAAGTGGAGATCAAACGGCTAAACCCGTTGGCAAGTGAACGAGGCACCATGGCTACGCTGTAGCAGGTTTACTCATGTACTGATATGCCAAAAAAACAGCTATCTAGTAAATACTAGAACCAGAGTCTTGGTCAAAGTTTCCATTCAAAACCTAACTCTAAGAGCACTTTTCATTTCGCACACTCTCGGCGGAACCCAAACAATAGGGACGAATTCGCTTTTAGACAGATTATTGCATTCTGTTGAGCTACCGCTCAGACTTGACCTTATTAAATGAGTCCACCTATGATTGCTTTGGTTCCCCCGATTTTCAGCGGAGAAAGTGGGGCCGGTAAAACAGAAAGCACAAAGCTTCTGCTACAATTTTTGGCTGCGGTAAGTGGACAGCACTCATGGATTGAACAACAAATTCTTGATTCAACGCCGATCATGGAAGGTGAGTTTTCTGTTCACAGTGTCGCAGGCAAGAACATTTATGAGTGTTCATACGTGAGGTATCATAGGAAATTTCAACGTAACAATACGACTTACTAATAACACTATACAAAGAACCATGTTTGTGGATAAGCATCACGTGGTCGATACTTCGTGCAACTACACTTTATCCCAAATTAGTATTGCCTTTTTGCTGATTGGACGAGAAGCTCGCAAAAACTACATGTTTGTGGGGCATTGAATATCCCTTGTAAACATACTTTGCTTTCTCACCACAGCTTTTGGGAACGCCAAAACGATCCGCAATGACAACTCTTCACGATTTGGCAAATATATAGAAATACATTTCAATCGAGAACGGGGCACCATTGTCAGTGCACGCATTGAGCAATACTTGCTGGAAAAGTCTCGAATTGTGACTCAAGCACCAGGTGAGCGAAATTACCACGTCTTCTACTGCATGTTGGCCGGTATGCCCGCAACAATGAAGCAAAGTCTTGGGCTGAGTCACGCGAGAGATTTCAACTATTTAACGCAAGTAAGTATATTGCCTTGGGCTATAAGATGTGCTGTGAAATATATACTGCCACAACAATAGTTCTTAAAATAAAAACCGAATTATCTCAAACCAGAATTAATGACGCGCTCAGAAAACCAATGCTTGTGATCGATCGCTCATGCAACCAATAGGCCGAAAAATGATCAGTTTCTACTAGCCTCTTCTAATGCAAAGAGTTTGATATACTAACGAAAGGGTTATCAGAGTAATGCATGTTTTTTAAAACCACGTCTGAGGGTTACCAGGTGTCCTGCTTCCTTAGCCATTCCTACAAACAAAAACTCAGTAAACAACAAACAGGAACCATTAAATCACACTGGTGCATCAAAAGTGTTTTTAGGTAGACAGAGCGCTTGATCTATCAGTGTTGCTGTAAGCAGCGAAAGAAGACTGAGTTCACATCCTAGAAGCTAGTTATAATCCAATCAACCAACAAAAAATGCCTTGAGAAGATGAACTTTCACGATGAGACCTACTCAAGCTTAAGCCGAACAAAGATCATGGTACCGGTCACCACCTTTTAACAAACAGGGTTCATTCTCATCAGTTACTCTCGTTTGCCTGGTAAGTTGATTCTGGCGGAGACCCAACTGAATCCAGCTGAATCTCCCATTTATGAAGGTTCTAAACTGAATTTATTGAACAGCGGCGCCTCTTGTTTCGGTTGGGACAGCAGTCGAGATATCGCAGTAAATTGTCCAAACGTAACACGTTACTCACAAGGCTGCAGCAATCTTGTGACCAATGTTCCTTCAAGAGAGTATACTACAAAATCTCGAATATCGTTCCAGATGAAGTATCAGACGGGGCGAGATGGCCCAAGTGGTTAGAGCGCGAATTTACTGACCGAAAGGTCCGTGGTTTGAATCCGTCCTCCGCCACTCGACTTCCCCTGTCTAGGCTTGGGCAACCTGGCAGTATCCCAGCCCTCGTGCTTCCTTCGGGTGGCATGGCAGCTAGGCACCGGAAGGGTGCTACAGCTGAACGCTTTTTTTATCAGACGGACTCCATGCAGCACATCCAGTTGAAGAACCTCATAAACTAGAGGTTCGGCTAGATTCATTCGAGTCTTCCCTTAAAACTGAATTTGTGTGCAAACGAGGATTGTCGGATGATTCTGTCCGTTTCGGGCTCAAGTGGAACATAAGGTTGATGGAAATCCGGAGACGGTACCTATTGGATAAGCTCCAGGAAGAGTGGAACCATCGTGTGCTCTCGAAGACTTTTCAGCAACCTTGTTGGTAGTATGTTACCTGTGCTCATGGTTCATTTTGTTGAAATCCTCATCAACAAAGGATCGGGAACCGTTTTTTTCGAACCGTAAACATATAACCACCAGTCTGCATTATGTGGTTTATCGAGTTAACGGAAGGCAGGAGGAAACAGGGATTCCAACATCGTCGCCTAATGCGATTTCCTACTTAAGCAGCTCCTTTGACGTTTTGATCAGAAGCCATAGAAAAACAGACTCGGAAATTTCAAGGTCGAATGTATTTCACCAGCTCCAACAACACTATCATCAAGTTGGCACTGGCTTACTGACGATTAAGTCTCTGAAAAGGAGTGCCACAGTTAGCCTTCGAAATATGGTGAGAGCGGTTGTGCAACTCATTTGCGAAAAAGCAGAGATCGCACCCGTAAAATAGCAGAAAAGCTGGAAGTGTTCAGTGAAAGCGTACATTTTTTAAAATGCTAATCGACAGAGGGGAGTTCCGTTTTTACCAAAACATGTACGAGCAGAGTATAAGTGACGTGAATTTAAACTAAACGAATCCCGCAACCACCTAAAACCAACTGAATATTATCCAGCTTGCCCCTGATGCCCCTGACGCTAACTGATTGGGAGGTTCTGACAGGTGGATGAACCAGTCGGCACAGTCAATTAATTCATTGAATCGTCTTTTAAGACGATAGGCATACCAGTCTCATCCATCAAGCGTAGATACTTGCGCCTACATTTCAGGCGCGCCCAGGGTGCTCTAGTGAAATAGCGGTACCACGATTGTCTCAAATGCCTAGAGTTCAAAACCTCTCAGGACCAAGGATGTTCACTACCGAAGAGATCTTATAAGTGCAAGACTCGGGTCTGGTGCTTCACTGTTTAGTACAAACTCACCAGGATACTTGCACCAGGAGAAGTGAAGGATTGCGAGTGAATTGCGTGCGAATTCCACAAGTCACGCTATAACATTCAGCCATTACAATCTTTGGTCTATCATCATGTCTTCATATGCCAGACTGAAAGACGGATCAGGACAAACTATTGATTACACGTTTATCCGTTTTTCAACACCCGCTGGTGAAAACCCATTGATCTGGTTAAATTTGAGAGAGGGGGCATATCTACTATTGTTGCTGAATGTACGTGTGCTGAATGATCAACACCTTCATATGCTTCCTCTGTCTTCTATGGTCAGAATACCTATTTGAAAAGGCGAGACTTATCTCGGGACATCTTGATAACCATCCTAGAACCGATCATAGTGAACGCTGATAAACAGCGCATGAAAGCGATTTCTGAGGCTGCAATGAGACTTGTATTTTTTGTTGCCTACTTGAGGTAGGTTTCTAGTTGTTGGCACTCCGACGTGTTTGCCTTTGTTTCCATTTCTTGAGAGATGACAACTGTACAGCGGGTGATGGTTGCAGTTAACGTTGGATTCTGATGCTATCGAATAAATCGGGTCTCAAGTCGTTTGTTTGGATAAAGTTTTTGTTAGAATACGGCGGCACTTGAATTCGCATGTAACAGTTTTGGTTTGGAAACCTCACGAACACATGTGGCAAAACTTTAACATGTACTGCCCGTAAATCCTTCCCCTCAGGGAGAGACTGTCGCTGAAAGCAGACAAGATTCTACCGATTATGTGAACGTAACCTCCGCAATGCGAGTCTTGATGTTCACACAAGATGAAATGGATCATATTTGGTCTCTGTTGGCGGCAATACTCCATCTGGGAAACATATGCTTCAAGGGTGATCAAAGCAATGGAGTTGATACCAGCTCAATTAGTGCGGAATCTTCACGTCACCTTCAAATGGCAGCCAGGCTACTAGATGTAAGTTTTTAAAGGTACAGTGAAATCATACGAGTTTGTTTGCTATGGCCGACAAGTTCCACCGAAATGTATGCATAATGCGACATATAGCTTTCCTATGTTTAAAAGAATATGCAAATATAGGAAGTAAAAGTTAGGCGAACTGAGAAGCAGTGCACTCGGCTGAGTTTCCGAGTCTCACTTATGGATGGGAAATCGGCTGACCTGCGTAAGTTTTTTAATTCTGCGTGCCTTAATATAATCGTCTCCGCTCTTTCCGGTGCGCCCTTTTCGGATGACGAGGAAGGCATAGGTGGAACTCGACCAATGACGCTGAGCGATTTGGTGGGACTGCTTTCATCGTTCATATCGATAAATGCATTTGCACATGTGCTAGAGGACCCAGAACATTAACGATAATGAGAAAAGAGTAACACTGGTGAGCTGTGGACTGGCTATCCTTCTCTCACCTTTCATACTGAGCAGATGGGTGCTAGGAAAGTGAACACCTAGTTGTGCTGCGTTACCTGTTTCTTGCAGCGCGTAGAGAAGTAGAAGTTGTCTCCTCTGAACAGCATTTTATTGAGTTTCTTTTTGGAAGGAAAATGAGGATTCCTCATTCTGTCTTATCATGGCTTCCTAGATTTTGCCTTAGTAGCAGATTCCTAGTAAAGAACTTTGGTAATAAACCCCGTTTCGGTAATAAGTTCATTGTGAGTGCAGATCATTTGAACTCTGTCCAACGTACACCGAATAAAATCTCAAAAGTAATTTATGTTAGCAAATCTGTGGAGGTTAGTGCGTTAACCAGACCAAGTTCCTTTAGGGTATATTTCACTGCATGGCTTTCTAGTCGGTGTGGAGTCAAGGAAATAGGGGTTTACCATAGGGTTTCTATGCAGAGTGCGGAATGTGCCAAGTTAGGGCTGCTGGGTATCATGAATAATCACGTGACGCCATCCATTATTATGTTATCGAAACGGCACAAGGAGACATTGAGCCTATCCTAATCAACTGTAACCTTTACTCAAAGGAGATTTAAGTACTCGTTTCACAGCCGGGGTGGATCACGGTTAATCTGACCTATATGATACATTTCAGACATTCTGTATTTAGAATTGTCACCAAGTTGTCCTCGTTGCACCCAAATTTCACGGGCTTCTGCCGGTTCTTCAGCTATTTTCCCTTGACCTCTCTCTCATAGGTTCCAATAGAGGACATGCGATCTTCACTGACAACGAAGCGTCTATTCACAAGTAGTGAATGTGTTACAGCCCCACTGTCTGTTTCATCAGCTGTGACCGTGCGCGACGCTCTGGTTAAGGCAATCTACTGTCAGCTCTTCGTCTGGATAGTGGGAAAAATCAATTCGGCTATTTACAAACCTCCATCAAGAGCATCGGCTTCAAAAGCCGTGAGATCAACTCCAAAACCAGGCAGTCCCGGTATGGTTTTTGATGAGTCGCCAGCAACAACTCCGGATCAGACGAAACACTCTCCTTGGATGAAATGGTCGAAATTTGGATCCGCGCATTGCTGGAATAGATTTTCGGACGCCAAGAATTCCTCCTCCTCTGCGGGTTCTGGTCGTAGTTCCATCGGAATCTTGGATATATTTGGTTTTGAGAAATTCAGTAAAAATAGGTAGTGTTCTTCTTTTGATCGATTCAAGATGTTTTCCCCGAATAACAATTGATTCATTATCCGTCACAAATCCCTTGAATACAGGAGTGGACGATTAGCTCGTCCATTGTACACTAGCAGAGTAGTGACGAAATGACGACTGCACATACCATTTGTGGGGTTCGAATCCATGGTCATGTTGGTTTACTCCAGATGGGCTCAAAATCCAGATCCGCTTTTACTTTGAAATGATCGGATAGAGTGAAACTTGTTCAAACGAGGCTAGATGTGACACTATACAAGTATCCCGACTGCACACGAATAATCATTACCGTAACGTTGATCCAATATTGTCATAACAGACGATGTGACTACACTTTAAATTGAACCACTATCGTTTCATGTGTACATGGGCCCACCAAACCGGACATGATTATAATCATACAGGTGGTTTTAGCGAAAATTCTTCCGACTCAGGCTTATGGACAAACAACGCCAACTCTGTGTTCCCACTGTGAACAGTCTATATAGCTCGATATTGCCCAGGATTCCATCTACTTCCCGAGTCTTCTTTAAGCGTTTGTGTTCGTTTACAAACCTATCTGTGAGTACGATTGCAGAATTTCCATAGAGCAGCCTCTCCTGGGGCATTGTATGCGGTGATGCACATCATCGAGGTAAGTACTGCATTTAGTGGCCTCTGTATTAAGCATATCCGACTTTTCCGCGTACAGTATCCACGTTAATTATAGATGTGAATAATGTTTTTGGGGCTCTAAATGACCAAATTGTTTCCGGCGCAATTCAAGCATGTATTTGGCAGCAGAATATAAGAAAACTCACTCCCACGATTCTACATCCTGACTGGTACCACAATAACCAATTGGGATTTGAGGGAATCCATGGGTGGTCCTTTTTACGAATGAAGGATAGCATCGCCAAAATATTTGTTTCCACATCAAATCTTGTGGAACCGCTACGAGATGTTTTTTGGGAGGACGGTTGTGTTGTAGAATAGCCTAATCAGGGCACGGTGTACTTTTTTTTTACCAGTGGAGCTTAGCAGCCGTTGTCGTAAATCTAGCGCTGTAGCCTCGCACTAGGACCGCAACATACGCATTTCGATTCTGTTCATAGCCACACCACTCTCGTTTGAACGGCCGTGTTCCTGTTCTGGCGTAATTATTCCGGTGAGTCTCCACCAAAGGGAAGCAATGGACTCGAGTTTCACTCTTATTAGAGCTCATCAGCAGTGCATATCCAATGGCCGTGCCGGGATTTGATATGTTGATATGATATGATGATATGATGATGATATATGATATGATGTGATAGATGATATGATGATATGATATGGTGATGATATGATTTGATATGCTGATGAGCTCTAATAAGAGCGAAACTCGAGTCCAGTGCTTCCCTTTGGTGGAATAATTACACCAGAACAGGAACACGGCCGTTCAAACGAGAGTGGTGTGGCTATAAATTGTATTTCGATTCTATTAGCAAAAATTCTACAGTGATTGGACTTTTCCAATTAGCTTCTACGCAGGGTCTTATTTTCCTTACTCAGGTGCTGCGTCGACACTGATCCTCATTAGTTTGATGCCTAAAGCTGGTATTGTTTCAGCTCACCTATTCACGACCAAGTCTTACCAGGCTGAGTAGTGTTTGTGACCTAGGCAGTTTGTAAAGCTAGTCAATGGATCAACATATGGCTTTAGTACGAGGTCCCTGATAAGAGGCAGTTTGTAGTGGTTCTCCTTACTGATACCAAAGAAGCTTAAATTTCCTGGGCGCAATCGCCTTACGGGAGCAAGCGCTGTACCCGTGTTAGTCTTCCACTCTTACCATTTGTTCTAACCTTTGAGATTTTGGCAGACTTTGCTTTCTCCAAAAGTGAAATAATATGTTCTCTGAAGAAAGGCCACTCTTATAGAGGGAGCAGAACAGTGGTCTTACTCTGCCACAACTTAATTTAAGCTGTGACTAGTATAGAGAAACAATAAACTTACTCCATGATGTCTTCTCGAGGGATAACCGCATAATGTTTTCACATTTCATTTTCCCACGCCTGAAGAACAAGTCACCCTTATTTTCATCAGCATTAATTCATAGACTCATCACCTAGTTTCATCCACATTGTGTACCTAATATAGCTTCGAACAATTGTGTATCAACTTCGCCAATGAAAACCTGCAACAGTTCTTCGTCCGGCACATTTTCAAACTCGAGCAGGAAGAGTACATTGCCGAGGGAATTGAATGGACTCATATTGATTTTGTTGATAATCAGAGCACGTTGAATCTGATCGGCGCCAAACCAATGAACTTACTAGCTCTGATAGACGAGGAATGTCAGTTCCCTCAAGGTTCAGACAGTAGCTTACTGCATAAAATGAATGAACTTCAAGCCAATCATCCTCAGTACGTCCGTACACAGTCAACGGCTGAACAGGTAAGCGGAGCATGAGTTGAGTAATGGTGGGACACGAATGTTCATTACCACATCTTCACCCCATGAAGAACATTTTTGGGTTCTCAGACAAAGTAGACTTTAATCTTCCTTAGAATTTGTGCCTGAATGCGAGTATTTCAAAGCGTTGCAAAGCGTCCAAAACATACCTTAACCAAAAGCGAGGCATTCGCTGTCAGACTAAGACAATGTGGTATTATCTGTTACCGACATTACACATACACCCCCTGACTATCTGGTCACCAGATCACACCGCCTTACTCGAGCTCATCTGAACTTGTTGTCGCAACACCGTTGACCGGTGGGCCGATTTGACCAGTGAACTGATACTCAGCAGACTGCCCGGAAAGCTTTCACATGGTGGTCGTCTTAACTGATTTCACATTCAAGGTCTGTGGTGTGAATTGGACACAAACTTAATGCAGTTCAGATTAGTCCTTCTTGTTATGCCCGTATGAGTCCCGTCGGTAAACAAATAAGTGGAATAGAAATCTATTGGTGGTGAGGTTTTCAGTGTGTTTCAGTTGAGCTGCTCTTCGTTCTAACTTCTGCCATTTTTTACGGCGGGTTAGAATTCAGTGGTTAGGACTGAAACCTCTAAACCGTCTCCAACTGCGTGACGCTTGGACTGAGGGTACCTTTTTCCAAGACATTCGGGCACCTGAGCTTTCGTGACCTGGTGCAAATTCAGTTTTTACATGTCTTAGAAGTACCAAATGCCAGAGCTGGCAGCCTGCTCGCTTACGGCCCGGCTCTTGCCTCACCAGTCTCGTTCAACCTTCGTCTTGTTCAAATGAAGAGCTACACAGTCAAGACGGTTGATCAATCTGCATAGCAGTTAGCCTAACAGGCGTCGTCGTCTGATCTGATCGCATCGCCTCCCCGTGTGCATAGACTGATTTTAAACACTCAGCATTTAAATTAGTTGTTTTGGGACAACAGAGGGCTTTAGATTTAACGGACTAATATAAGTGGCATATACCATCAGCAATTGTGGAAGTGTAGGATATTGGACAACTTCAGCGGCGTGTATGTACGTTTGTGCAGAAGAAATCTGAATGAAGCAACAATTTTTTGTGTGTAACGTCTTCCAAATATGTCCTGCTTTAAAAAGACTACTTATCTCGATGCCTAGGAAAAGGAAGAACGAGCTACCCTACTCTGACAGAATATGTGCCGAATTCGATCACTAGACTTCTCCATAAAGGACATAAACTAACAACATATAAATGTTTCATCAGACTTGGGCTAGCTAGGAGCTTACAGTATACCAAGAAACAGCTATGGGGACAATGCTTGAACATCACAACAATTACCCGTGAACTTACATTTCCCGTGAAATTTTACCGGTGGATGACTGCTGTCAAAATATATTTATATGTACAGAGTGTCTCATAATAGACGCAAACAATAATATTAATGTCGAAACTTTAACACCGACCCAAACCTTTATTATTTTTTATGTTGACATACATGCATTATGGAGGTTTACTGTAAACAAACTGGCATTACAAAAAATGCTGAAAACACCGCCCCTTTTTTCTATAACAAGTTGGAGGCGCTATGAGATGTGAGACGCAGCATGTTTAACTTCTTCAGGCGTCACTCGTGCACACTCCTCTTCAATTCTTGCTCTCAACTCCACCAAATTCTTCGGTTTATTTTTATTGATATCGGGAGCCTTGATCATTCCCCAAAACAAACAATCCAGAAGTGTGAGTTCGGGTGACCTAGCGGGCCAAAAGTTTGGAATTCCATGAGCAGTGACACTCTCATCAGAGAATTGCTGTTGGAGGTAAGTTCTCACTTGGTTTAGTAGTGGGGTGGAGCACCACCTTGCTGAAAGACGGTCGATGACTTCTTGTGCTGCTTGAGTTGCGGGATAACATGCGTCTACAGCATATGGGGTAACTGTCGCCGAAAACCGTAGCATCAAAGAAAAAGGTATGCAGGAGACACTTTGAGGAGAATCCCATCCACACAGAGATGAGGAGAATGGAGATTATGGGTGAGGTACTCGTGAGGAGCTTCACGGCACCATATCACGCAATTGTGCTTGTTGATTATGCCATCCACAGAAAAATTTGCTTCATCGCTCCATAAAATGTTGAGAATGATTTCTTCAATGGCCAGCAGCCAGTTAGTGAACGTGACACGTCGCTTCCGTGATGTTTCGTAATAAAGTCAGATGATACGGATAGAGATGAAGGTGGCGTCTCATAATACGATGCACGCTGGCGCGGGGAATGCCGGTCAACTAAGACACCTGCGTTATTGACGAAGATGCCATGGTGCTCTGGGAATGGAGTTGCTCGACGGCATTCTGTACAATGGGAGCTCTTTCATCACTCAGAGACTTTCTCTCTTTGCCAGGAAAATCCAATACAGATCCAGTGGACTCAAATTTCGCAATCAAGCGTGTAATGATAGACACGGTGAAAGGATCTTTGATGAGCCATGTTTGGTTTTGTAACCACGAAGTGCAGCGGTGGTGCTTTCACTAAGAAAATAATAGGGTTCCACAATTTCAATGCGCGTACTGACATCCATCGTAGATAGAAAAAAATACCAACACTTGCACACAAAACATCCTTTATGTAGCCACTAATAATAAAAAATTTTGTCATCCCTCCTTTGCGTCTATTATGAGGCCCCCTGTATACTGTCTTCAACCTTCAACATGACGATGTCACATTGGCCATATTGAAAGCTTTTCGTGTTCCATGAAGTTCGATTACAGATAGACTAATTTTAAGGAATCATATAACTAAAATGCGTGTGTATGTATGTATGTATGTATGTATGTAAGTATGTATGTATGTATGTATGTATGTAAGTATGTATGTGTATGTATGTATGTATGTATGTATGTATGTATGTATGTATGTATGTATGTATGTATGTATGTATGTATGTATGTATGTATGTATGTATGTATGTATATGTACAGTATATGTATGTATGGTGCAAGTGGGATAAAGAGCCTCGAAACCACCCCAGATGTACGAGGCCTCTAAAGCTGATCGATTCGCATTCAGTTTGCTCACTTTTCTATCGAGATAGGCCCACACAGGACAGGATGACCACGGTAGAATAGGGTCTAGTTGGTAACATTTTTCTCAACACTTTCTTGCCCGGACTAACTCGCTTCACATCTGCAGGGTACGTTAGAGTTACCAAAAGACATTCTAATGCATTTTCTTCTCAGTAGTTTACACGAACGTACCTGTTATATCTATTAGTGACTGCATCGGAGCCCAGGCTTTATTAGCTAGTTGAAGTAGTTTGACAAGGATAAGTCTTCAGTTGATTTGAGTTTTTCACGTGCTTTTGGGAATATTTAAGTTTGCTCGAATAATTTGCTGCGTTCTGCTCATGTAGTGCACTTTGGTCGAGTAAGCATAGCCGATACACTTTTCTTCTTTGAGTTCTACTATTAAATGACGGGTATTTTCAATGCTATTGTTTCGAGACGGTACAAGTCGTGATCGTATTCGCCTTACGTACGTAGCTCCATGTATCATCCAGTGAGTGAAGGGTGGAAGATTTCGCCTTTTTACATTGCTTCCCACACGTTGTCGAGCGTAGTTTGACCATCAATAAATTGGGGACAAGAGGAAATTTTTGGGCTGATAACCGACTGATTACAAAAGTTTTCGGTCGGCGTACAGCGTCTCTTTTTCACACAACTTATAATGCACCGAAAGACCAAGTGACCTGCAGCGAGGCAAATTCAGCTTGGATTTCCTTGGTGGTGGAACTGTTTGTAATCCTTAGGTGGTATACTGTTCTCCTGAATGGTGTGCTCTACGACCTGATCAGTCACCAGTGTTGTCTAACCCCTGACCGGTTAAGTGTCCCTGTTTCCTTTGTCACTTTAGCGCTTCGGTATACAACACTTTGCCGGTGTTGTCTACTACGACGTTGATGGTTTCTTAGACAAGAGCAGGGACACGTTTAGCGCAGATTTGGCTAATATGATTCAACTGTCCAAGAGCCCGTTCCTCCAACGACTATTCAAAGACTCGCTTGCCACGGTACGTTCAAATCTTTTTTCTGTGATCGTTTGAATCGTCCCTCCATATCCTTCGGGACGAAACAGGAAAGAACGTCGGAGACTGCAACATCTACTCATTTTTTTCCAAAATAGTGACTTATCTTGTTCAATGTCTGGAAATAGTGTCAAATACAGTGATGAAATGCGCTGGCTTCCTAATGCCTCCTTACTTCTCTTCACATTGGGCGACTCCTAGGCAAACTATGGAGTCGAAAAATGAAAAATCTACACTGAATGATCTTCACCTGCCTAAAGCATAGAGTGATTTCGCTAGCAGCTTTCCGTTTACGCTTTCCACACGAAATTGGTTCAGTCAAAACGCTCGGTATTCGGGAAAACAAGCGCAGCTTAAGTGCTAACAATGCCAAGTGATGGCTTCTTTTTTGAGCCGTGTTATCAACGTAAAGATGAAAAATCACCTGGACAAACTTGCATAGGGGGCCCTGGATTTTCACATAAGCTTGAATGACAGTGATGTTCCCACAATTGAGAAATCAAGTGGTTTACACCTTTAAAATTTGGCGCCTGTACTGTATCACCTCACAAAGTTGGTGTCCTTGACTGAACGTTCGAAAAAGCTCGGTATTTATTTTTCCAACAGGTATTATGGTACTTCGTGACTGAATAAAATCGGCCATAGCCATGACATTTTTAGACCACGTTACACCAAGCTAGATTCTTTGTTCGGAAAACTTAACACAAACCGGTGACCAATTTACCAACGTCTCTGTACATGTCATTCAAGGTCACATCTAAGCACTTCAACCCATCCGAACGGTTAGGAACCCTCTTTTTTAATGTGAAACACTCCACTATTGAATCGATCCGCTGGCACTGACATAGTCAATGCTAGATAAAGGAAGCGCGTTGTTACGCTGAGTAAGAAAGCAGCGTGACCAGACCGGTAGCTCCAGTAACTGTCAACTCGACCGTCACACGAATGAAGTCACACGAATGTCTGTGGCCACATACCTCAAGCACAGTGTGTTCTGCAGAAGGGAAACCATTCTTCAGTTACTGTAAAAAACCCAATCTGCAAAGCCTCCACTCGTATTTAAGTTGTACTAAATTTTCACCAGTCCTCCAATTAAATTACGAAATATGTGCTTGGAAAACATTGTGTGCGCATGTTCAATTTTTCTTGCGTGCATTAATCATCCGTACTACCAGTCTGTATGCAGCCAAACCGGAGCCATTCCCTGTATATGTTGTGTGCGATGTGCTGCTCGCATTTACAATTTTCCAATGCAATACAATGTAGCATGCGATGACACCATATTTTACTTTGTAGTCATTGGAATCACGAAAACGTTCACCGTCGTTGGGACTACAATTCAAAAAGTCGCTAGACAGTCTCATGCGAATACTGCAGTCATGTCAACCATTTTTTGTCCGTTGCATCAAGCCTAATGAACTGAAGCGTCCTGGCCTTTTTGATCGTGAGTTATGCGTTCGTCAGTTACGATATTCCGGCATGATGGAAACCATACGGATCAGAAGAGCTGGTTATCCGATTCGCCACAAATTCAACGAATTTGTGGATAGATATCGCCCCCTTACGACACCTTGCTTCGTACCAGCAGAAACCGATGTCGAAAGGACTGTTGAAGCTATTTGTTCGTCTACTTTGGCCAGTGAAGGTTACTGCCTGGGCCGCTCAAAAGTGTTTTTAAAGGTAAAGGAAAACTGACTGCTATCTGACCCTCTATTAATTTGCAGTAGCGTAAGCCCCGAACAATAAATCTCGAGCTTGTTAATGTCTTTCTAAGGGCTTCCAGATTGACGTATTACATAAAACAAGATCGTTATAAATTGCCGTGCAACATTACAGGAAGCAACATCGCTTTCTGAGGATGTCAGCCGCATACACTTTGGTTGCCCATTAACTGAGTTTCTGTGGCTGTGACGTATCTAAAGAAACATTCAGGGATCCGTTGAATGGACAAGCGGAATGGGCATAACTGACAGGACAAGTTGCTGTTAGCTGGAAGGCTTATTGTTGGTTGAAAGGATTTTATCCGTTAAGTTCTCCTCATAAACAACATGATTCTTTGTTGTAGATTTTGCATTTTCCAATGTTGTCGTTGATAGTGACCAAGCTTGCGTGCCATTTTAAGTGTAACAGAAAAGCCGAAACCGTCGACAGCCTTTTCAGCCCGACAATTCTTCTGGGCTATCTGAAGTATGAATAACCCAGATCACATAATAGGCTTATCTTATGCTTGTACAATAGTGTCAAGGAGTCACTTTTCCTTTCTCTCTCTAATCACACCAGGATTTTCATGATCTACATCTTGAAAGAGAACGCGATCGCATATTGACTAGCTCAGCGACGCTGATCCAGGCACATGTGCGTCGCCTTCTGACGCAGCGTTACTATCGGGAACTGAGGTCTTCTACTATATATCTACAGAAAATGGTCCGAGGCTTCCTTGTCCGACAGCGTTACAAGAAGGTACGTCTTTTCATCAATTTTTCAAAGCCTTTAGTAGTCGGCTTTCCAAAAAGCTGATCACAGATTGCTTGCAAATAAGATGCGGCAAAACCTGTGTGTTTTGTCTGTAATTAGCTGATGTGTCTACAAGAAATGTGGCTCTCAAGCGGTGGCATACCTATAGGGTGAATGAATTAAACATGAAATTTGTGGTTAGTGGACGTTGTTTGTGGATCAATCTTGTTCTCTAGCAAGCGGTGTCTGCATGTAAATCCGGTGGACTTGTTTCTATTTTTTGTCTTGCGGTTCTTTGTAGTCTGGCTGGTCAGATAAATCGATCTGTTACGGATAGCGTTTCAGCACGACGATCCCGATCGGCTGATTCAGGAAGATACAGGCTTAGGCAGGATTTGTAGTATCAGGAAGGAACCAAGTGATATCGTATCAAACGCGTGGGAAAGCCGAGTGTTTTTAGAAATGGAGCTTTAACTCATATTTCTCCATGCAGCACCCGCAGCTGAAATTTAGAAGGGCGAGGTTGCCTCAACCGGGCCGTCGCGACTCACTGTCACATGTGAAGTCTTTTTCTTCTGAATAGTATAAGATTTGTTTCCTGGTTTTCTTCATTATAAGGGGAATAAACTGAGCTGGCCAAACAACGTCTAGCCGCCAACTCTCTAACACTGGCATCGATTATGCTTTGCCATCGAATAAGACAACCGATTTGAAGCTGGAGGTGGTTTAAAGAGAAGGGCAACTGAAACTTTCAGACAGAACTGTGGATGCTGGATTGACAAGGCTTTGTCTAGACGTTCATATAAATGAACTAACTGTGAACTAACTGAAACCACCATGCCAGAGGATGTGCATCTTACGATTTGTACCATAATCCTAGGGTTCAATGAATATTTGAACGCTTGCACTAATGCCAAGCGTTTCATCCAGTGGATGCGACGAGTGTTGATAGCAAGTTTCTGCTGGGATACATGTTAACGAAGAGGGTATCGCGCAGTCATGAAAGTGTCAAAAACAAACTTGGTTCCCCTTGCAATTTATATGTTTAAATAGTATATGGAAACTGTATTTTAGAAGTTTGTATCTTGCGGTCAAACGGGGAGTGACATTCGACATTAAAATGTCTGTAATAAGCTGTAAAATCCCACTCCACTTTCTTCTTGATACATCACTAATCCTGATACTGTAAAGACTCAATTGTAGATAGTCTATCCCAGTAAGTTTTCTATTTCTTGTTATCCACCTTAAAAACTTTTCAATCGTTACCTTGGCGCGGCATACCGCAATTTATAGCCGTACCGCACTACTCATGCGGTTGCTGAAAACTCCGACTATCCACGACGGGTTTCGCCGGTTGTGGCCGGTAGGCACTCACTCCGGGGTTCCATCAATCTTATCTTTTAACTACACTCAGTTGTAAAAAATTGGCGGAATGCACTCATTTGAGTGCCAATTTAGTTTTCACGAAAAACTCAAACGAATCTCTCGTTTACGATGTTCATCTTCACCAATATTAAGAGTAGTGTGTTATGCCTATACAAAGTACGGTGATAATTGACCATCGTACCAACCCAATAATGAGGCATCCCGGTGCAGCGCATTCTGTTGAAGAAGAATATCATAAACGAGGATTCAGTTAGGTCTCTTGTGAAAACAGAAGTGGTATACAAATGAGTGTATTTCGCTCATGCTGAAATTTACTTATCTATCATCAGTCTACCCATCCATCTGTCTGTTTGCCTGACTGTGGAGCTTCGTGGTGAGATTTTAACTTTTCCCAATTTCGTTGATGGCTGTGAATGTTGGTACCAACTATCTCAAATTTAGCCTCATGATAAAAACAAAACATAAGGCCAAACAAGAGATGCTTATCATCTGGAAAGTACTGTGCGGTTGGAGAAAAATGGGGTGTATTTTTCGCTCCAGCACCGTACAGAAAGCATTTTATTTGCCACTCAGTGGACTAGCATTCATAAGATTAAGAATGGCTCCAAAATGAACTTCAGCCCTTTCTATACAGACAAGGCATACGGGTCGAAAATCGCATAGGTTCTGTTCGGAAAGCATTAGAGACACGGAACTGAACAAAAAGTAGCCTGTCTGTGAGGAGTTCATAGCGCCTGGTGAGCCGGCAAATAAAAGGTTGCGCAGGAAGCTTGGATTCAACCTAATTGCTATCTCAGAATGCTTAAACGTAACTTAATTTTGCCACCACGTAATTCTGGTCCAACTGAACCCGAACTTTCTGCAAATTATTGTCGGTGTTTGGCTCTCTGTGCCTGAACAACTTGCAACGGCATTTAAGGTAACGTTTAATTCGGAAATGTGAATTAATGTGCAATTTGGTTTCAAGTAGAACATAAGGTTGACGGAAACTCGGGGATTTCGCCTACCTGATGAACCCGGTTGACGGAAACTCGGGGATTTCGCCTACCTGATGAACCCCGAAAAGGGCGAAAGTGGTAGCGTGTTGTCGAAGAATTTTCAGCAACCTAATTGGTAGTGTATTACATATTTCCAATGTTTGGTTCTCAAAACCGGACGACTATCTTTCTATGAACAGAAACTGTCGTTTAGAAACTTAGGTTCACCATATAAAAGCGCAAATTCCTTATCGAGCCGTTGTTTGTTGCCAAAGTGTTTCCTGTTAGTACGTGTTTTGACGATGAAACGCAGCTATCTTTTGACCCATACCTACTTGCTCTTTGGACGCAGACGGTGAAAGGTCTGATTTTCACATTCATTTTTTGTAAAAAGGCGCGTACCGTCGTTCTTAAACTTCCTACCTGAACCTAACTCACATGTGAAATGATGGGCGTCATTAGTCTAAACACCTTTCGGAAAAACTCCATTTTTGTCATACTGAGAAATTTGTACGCTAAAAACTATCTACTTCTATCTTCTGGTACATGTTTATACCCGGATTTCGGTTCCAGACGTCAGAAGACTGCAACCACGCAAACAGTAATGCTTGAGGATATATAAAATGGGCCAGTCACGGAGACCCCATGGATTAGGAGCCTTTGATTCTGTGACTGAGAACGTTCCGTTGCATTGCAGCTCTAGGCATATTTGAATACTAGCTGAGTATGATTTTTAATAATTTTGAAAGCAGGAAATAAAATGAAAATATAATGGCACCTTGTGCGTTCAATGTCCTTTAATTTTATGTTTTTACGAGTTGTGACTCGTTTAACTCTTTTCTCTTTGTAGGTTAGGCATGGGATCTTACAGATTCAGGCCGTCCTATGTGCTCGACGGATGACAGAATCCTTTCATAGGACTCGAGATTTCGTCATTCAACTTCAGGCGTACGCACGTGGCTTCCTGGCTAGACGTATTGCCAAGCTGCGTCATCCAGCCGCAGCCACCATTCAGGCAGCATTCCGAAAAATGATGGCTCGAAGGGCCAGTCTGAAAGACGAAGTAATGTGGTGCTATTTGATAGCTATGTGTACTGACAAATCGGTTGCTTGAAGCGGGATCACGCCCCAGCTAAGCCTAATCGGATGAATATAACAAGTTTAACCAGTTTTTCGAGATATACACTCATTTGCAAATCAATTTGGTTTTCACGAGAGACTCAAACAGCTGGTTAAACTCCATAAAGGAAACTACCCACAAAATTGCTGAAAACTCTTCGACAGCCCACGACCGGTTTCGCCCTTTTTGGGGCTCATCAGGAAGGCGCAGTACCCGGCTTTCTGTCAACCTTATGTTCTGCTTGAACCCAAATTGGGCTGCTTCCGAGAACTGCACTCATTTACCTAACTGATGGGCCCCAAGAAGGGCGAAACCGGTCGTGGGCTGTCGAAGAGTTTTCAGCAATTTTGTGGGTAGTTTCCTTTATGGAGTTTAACCAGCTGTTATTTCGCACTTTGAGGTTAACAGATGTGGATACGGACTGAATCTTGATGTGGCCCAACTTAGTGAAGTGAGAAAATTGCCCCACTGAATGTCCAGCACTTCCCAGATCCACAGTCTCAGGGATTATTCAAAGCGAATGCCTCCACCATCCTTTTCCAGCGAACAGTCCAAACGACTGTCACACTTCCGCATCATGACACCGTCACCGCCATTGCGAACGGAGATCTCACACAAGACGATGACATTACACTCTGCCTCGATAAAAGTGAAAGACATCAATTTCAACCCTTAGATGCGGCATTCATGGTGAGTCTAAAATGCAAAATATGGTAGAATTCAAAATTGCCCTTATAATCTTGTGACAGAATTACCCATTGACCCAGCCTTGCTTCTTATGTCATGTGTAGACCTAGGTTGTTGAGTCTACCACGCGACTATCTGAAAAATTGCCCTCATCGTTGAACGGGCTCTAGCGGATGAAGCCACTGGAACACATGCACGTTATGCGATTGATAATTACGATCAGTAGGTTGTTGGTTGATGTGCTGCTTGGTTGGTTTCACTGATATTGCATCAAAAACAAGATACACCATTAAACAGATGTAATGCAAGCAAACAGGGATCTATTTCCTCAAAAGCTTATCCTAATTGCCTCGTAGCCACCTACGATTTCTAGCCGATGAAATAATTAATATCACAATCTGCGCAGCTCTCGCTGGCCATTGCGGGTCAGTCAATTAAGAACATAATCGCTGGCCTCTTGTGAATACGAACATTTCTGTTGCAGGGGTATTTTTTCAATTTTCTAGTGTGCGCTCTTCATGTCACATCGTCTAATCTCGGCTACAGTAAAGCATAGGATTAAGCTGAACATGCCTGTGAACCGTCTCTGTTTGAAGGTTATTCTTGGCGCGGTTTCAGACACAGTTTTGCTTTAAAATTCAATTGGTAATATTACGGATAGTCCAAGACGTAACTCTGAAACCTGTATATTTAACAACACATGAAATCATGAGGATGCCTTAACGGAAAACGACTAAGACCAATAAGCCTGAATAATTGTCAGCGTGATTAACTGTGCTATGGGACCGACCTTTCATCAGCATGTTGGTTGCAACTCTTTGATTTCGTTTGATGTCATGAGGGCTTTATTTCCCATAATCTACGGTGGCCAGCATTGCTGCCCAGCCAAATGTTGCAGAATACCATACCACCGATTTCTGCTTACTGATGCTGGCATGTTGCTCCCACTTCATAGTCGGATGACCTCTTTAGTATTGCGCTTGAGAATGATGCAAGTTGTACAGTCGACGCCTATTGCTTTGAACCCGGATGTTCCACAACCGAGGGCTCTGCTAGCTACACCAAAAAACCGCGGTCAACATGTACAACGCAATTTCACCCAGCTTTGGCTCAAAGTCCCACCCTAAACAGTTCCAACACTATCTGGATTGTGGAAAAAGTGAACGCTGGTGACGTGGAGGTTGAAAAAAGTGAGACAACAAAGCCGGTATCGACGTCAATCCATTTGGGAGGTTGTGATAAGCCAGAGCCGAGTTCCTTTTCTGCAGTCACGTACATTCAAGTGAGCAGCGAGCGAGATCATAAAGTGAAAGAAGAGACATTCATTCGATTCGCTTCCACCTACTTCCAAGGTGGAGAGACGCCCTACTTTAGTAGGCGAAATCTGAGCAGGTCCCTTCTTGCCCATGCGAACGAAAACGATGAAATGGTAAGGTTCTTTCACTTGCATTGTGCTATTCTTGACTATTACCTCTCTTTTTTCGTAGTTTGTAATCCCGTTATGTAGAGCTATGTGGGTAACAAGGACTATGGCAACATTCCACATCTACCACCACTGTGCTCAGAATAGGAAGCCGCAGGTTTTTGCGGCTTGTAAGTAAGTTAACAACCAGTGGAGTATGTCTGAAAACTCTTGGATGCGCACGACTGAAACTTACACACACGCCATATATTCGCCCCATATAATGCAATCTTTTCAAACACTACTTACATCCAGATAGGGGGAGATCTAAGTAAGTAGTATTGAAAACCACGCTCCTAGTCTGTCAGCAAGGCATTCAACATCCGAGGTAGTTAAAGATGAGAGACCATTAGACAGATGTTTAGGACTTAATGATGGGTTTCCTGATAAGGAACTTTGGACCACGTGTAGGTTTGATGATGTCGAATAGCAAAACGAAGAATTGCCTTCAAAAACTCAAGGCTCTATTGACATAAAGGTAAGAAAAATAATGCAACAAAGCTCAGTTGTCCACTTTGTTAGCGTCGACAAGAGCGCTCGCTACTTTCGAGTCAATGTTTCACGAACCACCGTTATTTGACGAAGAAGGGACGTTAAGAGTCTTGTTACGACCGAAGACAAGTGATCTCCCCGTAATTACCACACTCTCTACGAGTCCCTTTTCGGAGGATGAGCTACTCCCTAGTTTTCTGGGACCGTCTCCTCCTCCCAAATACAGGCAGACAGGTCAGGCAAGCGGTGACTGAGAACTTCACATCGGAGGTACGCAAACTGTCATAGCACGCTAAGATTCAGTCCCTTTGTGATGGCAAAAACTTAAAACAAACTTAACACAGGGCATCGTTATTAGCATGCTACGTATGTGACTCAGTAAGTGGTTTTGTGTGTCAGGTTAATCTGACAGGCAAGAAGATATTTCAGATGGATTGTATTAACTTAAACGTTCAAGTTGAACAGAAGACAGGATTCCCAATACTTTGGGGATAAAACAAATGATGGAGGCGTCAAACGATACTCAAACTTTATTCCTAAACTAGGTGAATCAAGCATAGGCCACCTTATTGTGGGCAATGTGTTACCAGAAATTTGATACGATTATAAAAACGTATTTCTATATTTTTAAAAACTGGGCTAATGATCACGGATACGACGGGACACCACTAGTGAATCTAAACGGGTTTTTAGGAAACGTTTTGGGTGCACATATTCTCCCACGCTTGAAGGCTCATACTGAGCTCCTGGCAAACTTCTTGATGCTGCGACTTCGCCGTATCTGGAGGATACATTGCGGAGACAATCTTTCCAGTAAGTTCTTGGAATGCAAAATGATATCAACTGGCTTTCCTGACCCCGTCGCAAACTTCAGTTATCGTTCTGGTTAATAAGCAAGAAGTGCACCTGAGCGTGAATAGACAGATGCCGCATACTTTACAGCGGTTTGTTTAGTTTAGGGCAGCGGCTTCTGCTTCTCCGCTGAAGATATTGCCGGTTTATTATACCCTAATTTCGATGTCTAAAGAAGGTTGATGAAAATTAATCTATTTTCCTGCATGGAGCTTTCATCAATATAGAGTAGTTTTTCCTGCAAATTGGAATCCCCGGTTTGTTTTTCATACTAGTCAATAGCAGCATTTTCTAGACCCGGTTTTATCACTACCACACAAAGTTTCACTCTTTTTATAAGTACCCTATTGTGAGCGCGTAATCTTGATGCCCATGTGCTAGCTACTTTGAAGTTCCGAGCCTGAAATACTACCTGTCAGAGCACTGAAACCTATGGTGCGAAGCAGAGAAACGCAAACTATCCATTGGCATTATTTGAACTTGCAAGTGAAACACATTCATACACTCATTGAGAGCTATTTTACTGCACTATGATGAAACAGAGAAGTTGTCACTTTTCTTCTAATTTTGTCTACTAGGCATCACTCGCAATATGGGTGATGATATTACGGTTTATGGAGGTACTTCCGGAACCGAATATCCGTGTGGAACAAACCAACCGGCCGGGTTTCCAGTTTGGCGACGGCAGATATCCTAGCATCCGTCGCATGCTTGATGGTGACGGTAAAATGGTGGTATCAAATAGCCCATCGGTATGTTCCACAAGTATGAGTGTTTTTAAATGCCCCTGTACAACAAAATAGAAAAAAATGAATACTTCGAAATAGAGATCGAACCACTGGACACTTGCTAATATTATGAGATCCATAGATGGTTGCTGGTTGTTGATCAGGTGGCTGTTGATCTGTTCGCCGAGCTTGGCAATTGGCTTGCAAACGTTTCGTCATCATACGAGGAGACATCATCAGTGCCCAGTTGGGTGGGTACTTCTTCCTTGCTTGCGTGCGTTTATATCGCATTCGAAGGCTATCTGTTATCTACTGACGTGATTGGCTACTTGAAGCGCAACAAATTTGGTGAATCCATTGGTCCGTTTGTGATCCTTGTTGCGTTGTGGCCTCCGTTACTTTGAGTTGATTGGTTATCCCAACGCCTTCTATTTTTAGTAGCTTGTTCCCCCGGGCCTTGTTTCGCAGTGCCTTGGTTTGCAAACAGCCACCTGATCAACAACCAATAAACTCACCCGAGCTACCAGTATTTCAACACATTAACATCCATAGACGGTTTTCCCACGTAATTGAATGTAACTCTGGGCGCAAACTCCCGGGACTAGTATATACCCGGGGGAGTAAGATTGACGAGGAAAAGTGAAGAGGCTTGTGGTAAGCCATGCCTTGGTTTGCAGCCACCTGATCAACAACCAATAAACTCACCCGAGCTACCAGTATTTCAACACATTAACATCCATAGACGGTTTTCCCACGTAATTGAATGTAACTCTGGGCGCAAACTCCCGGGACTAGTATATACCCGGGGGAGTAAGATTGACGAGGAAAAGTGAAGAGGCTTGTGGTAAGCCATTAATTGGTCCATATATGACCGACAGCAGCAACTTCTTTAGCATCGAGCTACCGTCATCTCCTTTAGGTTTCAACGTAGTACTGCATACCCCAGTGTATCACCTTGCACATGTTCTTGGGATTTTGACGCAAAACACCGGCAGTTAATTCCGCTGTCTAAATGCCACACCGTCACTAACATAGAACAACACTGTGAAGACTATGAATAGAGGAGGTCGAAATGTTTAGTTGGAAAGTTAGTTTACAGGAAATAAATAAATAAAGTGCACATAAAGTGACCAGCGTCTAAAGAAGCACATTCATTCTGTCGGGGTGAAACGCCAACAGTGGGAATCAACCTATATTTACTCTGCTAAACTTATCCGGGCTACTTTGGACTCTCGTCACACTTTTGCTGAAATCAAGCGGGACGAAAACTCTGACGTGATGACCACCTTCGATTTGTAGCTGCATGTCGGAAAGTAATGCATGAACTAAAATGCATCAAGTTAAGAAGGGTGACCGCCAGATTCCAGCTACAGAGGATAAAGTTTATCATGATCATCAATGCCTATGCTCTCGCAAACTCCCCCAATGTCGGACTTCCGGACTCCTCCTTCTTGATGGGCGATTTCATTGTGCGAGTTGGTAAGGGTTCGGAAATTTGAACTAAGACACTGGGTTTATTTAGGACCGTCTGGATGAACGAAAACAGCTGAAGATTACTGAAAAGGTGTGAACAATTTGAACTCGCAATAACAAACACGTGGTCCAGTGTGGGACGGAAACTGCTTGCTACGGGTGCGGGTGTCAATGTGTGGTAAAGTAGTGTACTCTATAGTGTACTGACCCCAAAACTGGAGACTGAAGCTGAACGCCGTACGAAACACGATTTGTTACGCGTTAAAGTATCCGTTGCAGTTGGAGAATAATTAAAAATCCGTGGACCAGAGGGACGCCTATTTGAGATGGGTGCAAAAGCTGAAGAACCAGGAGATGACATTGAAGTTTTGCGAGCCTTTGGTGCAAATTCTGGTGGATGAACAGGTCTAAAAGGTATTCGAAAGCTAGTGGACTCAAGCATTAGCTCATATACAAGTAGCTGCTGTGGATACAATCAGATAAAAGCGAAAACGGAGTCGAGATTGAGTGAAAAGGATTCATGGATATCCATTACATTTCGACGGAAGAACTTGGCGTTCACCGAAGCACTCCAAGATCCGACAAACACAGGAGTCTGAAAGCGAATCATAAGTGTGTCAGGAGCAAGTATATGAACCACATGTGGAAAAAAATAAATGCATGTTGTCTACCCCAAATGGAGATTAATTCCACATGAATATCTGTTTTCAAAAGGAAGTCTTTGGCAGTCCGAAAGCAATCTGCTGCCTGAAACTCCAGCGACTTCAGCCGATAGAAGTCAAAAAGCGCAGAAACGTAACTATCCAAAAAAATTGTGTCAACCTAAAAACGTCATTTAGCAACACCACTCAACTGGCAGGGCGGTGTTGGTTTGAGCTAAATGGATCACCTGTCCCAAAATCCAATGAAGGCCTACCTAATTTACATACCTACTACCACAGAACTGCTGGCAGTCATGGACCAACTGCAAAATGGGAGAGCAACGTAAATGGACGGTACCACGCATAACTATCCAAGGTTGAAAGACTGACATTGTATAACGGAATTCTTTAGCTGCAATAAGAAATTAAGGTGAAACGCAGAAGATGGATAATTAAAGGGGAATCAGCCTTCCATATACGGGAGGCAAAGCTGTGGATTGCATCCCGTTGACTTGAGTGGTGAATGGAGTAGAACATTTCTGAAACCAGGCTTTTGGGGCAAATGCGTTGAAAGAAGTAGATGCTGAGACAACGATTCACTGTCTACATACATTGATTTTAAAACAATGATAGCACTGTTGGCAACGGCGACGATGCAAATACGAGCACCTTAGAGTTGTAGTTTACTTGACACTAGTAATGTTCCAGAACCAACCGCAAACGACAACCTAAAAGACACCTCCTCAAGATCCCTTCTCACACTTTAAGCAACCGGTTATCAACTTATAAGGACACAATACAAAGCGTAAAAGTATCTTTGAGCGCAGAGCGAGTTGAATTTCATGTAGAATTCCGGAATACATTACATGAAAATGAAAATAATAACACTGATTTCCTACATAGCAATCTAGAGCATTTGCAACACTTTGAAACGGAACCGCTTGTCAGGCGCTCCAAATTATGATGCAGGAAGCCGCGTTCCTTCTGGCTGGTTGTGCACGAACTCTTTTCTGTAGGTTGCAAGAAACTGTGATGAGCAGTTGCTGGCCGTGTTTATTTAGTGTGCTTTGAGGATTATGCATACATGCACTGTGGCGTCAGTCGACACGTAAAATATAAATGGATCTCATGTTCCAGCTATACCGATTTCCTTCGTGATAGCATATACACTTGATTGCATTCATTATAATAATGGTACTTCATTCTGCTCTCGGTAAATTTGTGCGCAAAGGCGATTCTTTGTGGGCTGTTTTGAATGGAGCGATTTACCGTGAAAATCGGCAAAAATGCGAGTGATTTCGCGAGTGAAAATTGCCCCACATCCGGGGGCCCGGGTTTTTAACCGAAAACTAACGGTGAAATACCGTACAGAGGAGAATATTCGGGAAAACGCAAGTAGATACCAGAGTAATCTAATAGAGACAGTGTCGTATCGCAAGGTTTGAGAACACTGTATTAGAGCGTTCAGCTGTAGCACCCTTCCGGTGCCTAGCTGCCATGCCACCCGAAGGAAGCACGAGGGCTGGGATACTGCCAGGTTGCCCAAGCCTAGACAGGGGAAGTCGAGTGGCGGAGGTCGGATTCGAACCGCGGACCTTCAGGTTAGTAATCCGCGCTCTAACCACTTCGGCCATCTCGCCCCTACACTCGCCCGAACACTGTATTAGGCTTTCACGTGAATGAATATGTGAGATGACGAGTACCAGCAAGCCGTTGTAACGAATACATGTGAAGCAGTAGACCTTACACAGACAAAGTTGACATGTGAATTCATCTAGAAATATCACGATGTCCAATTGAGGTTTCTTTCTCTAGGTGAAGTACAACTGTTTCGCCCTTATTTGGAATAATCAGCGGTGCGCTTTTCAGGAGACATGGGGAACTTTTGAACCCGCAACTTTCCGGCCACTGGTTGAGCATTTAATCATTCGTCCAAGGGCGAATGCGAACCACGTGCTTTACTTTGTATGCCCATTGAGGATATCATAATTAGTTATGTAGTACAGTTCGACAGATGGCTTCTACATTCCCCCCACCAGACGCTTGAGTTTGCCATGGACGAAAACCACAGGGACTCAAACAAGGGGAAGCATTTTTTCTTTGAGCAGTGGAACCGCAAAACGATCTCATTAACCGGACAGACTGTGTGCCACCACTGTAATCTAATATCTGTTGAGTTGGTCCTCGGCCTTGTCGTGTGTTATATACGATGTTACTTCGACTCATTTAACTTTGGGATAAAGATCACGGGTAGCAGGGTGAAGTCTATCCAGATAAAGGCAGTGACAGAGCAATTCTTTTGTCGATCGTCAGCCGTGTGACCATTTTGGCTGCTCGAGTCAGTCTCATAGTAATCATGCAGATAAAAAATGAGGTATTATCACAATCTACTAGGATGTGGGAAGCGAAGGAAAGATGTGAGCTTCCAAATAAACGTAAAAACAACAAAAGTGAACCACCTGGTTTATGGGAAATGGCCTCAGCAGAAGAAACAAAAGCAGTGATTGCACGGGAAATGCTAACGACATCTAAATAGACTTGCATTTTAAAACGTGAATATTTTCAGCTTGCTTGTGGCTTCATTACATGTGAGTATATCTACCCCGCTTTTTTGTTGCAATCATTGTCACTGAACCAAGAGATTCGGATCCGGGATGGTTAGCATCTTCTACACATTTCGGGCCTCCAAATTACCCAGATCCTACTTTTCTTTTGAGTCTGACCGAGTTGGACCATGAATATGACGTTACGCGTAGCAGTAGTATCATCTGCTCATTAGGTGGCTACAGCATAACTTACTCATGACAGTTCCTTAATCTGATTCATGTTCGTACCTTGGAGTTCTCACAACTGTATTCCGTTTCCTATTGGTACACTGGCCAGAACAATGACGGTTGGCAGAACTCAATAGGCAAGCTTAAAATATTTGTAAAAATACAGCAAACCACCGTGATGAGTTCAAATAAAGCGCACAAATAAACGGTATCCTGTACGTATAAGCCTAAGTCGATTGTGATTCTTCTACCAGAATGTCTCTAACTAACTTCCTTGTTTACCCTTCAGGACGCCAGCTCTCGTAAACCGCTTGATATTTTGTCCGCGAAGCGAATGCGATTCACAAATTTTCCCGGTAGAACAGACGCGAATCCCATGTCAAATGTTTCTTATTGCACGACACGCTTGGGAGAAGAAAAGACTGCGTCCAGTTTGGCCAAAGTACACTTTATCATTGGTCATGGAATCCGGCGGCCAGAACTCAGAGATGAAATTTACTGCCAGATATGCAAACAAATTCTACGCAATCCCAGTCGACGTAGTGAAGCACACAGTCAGTCTTTTTTCAGTTTTCGAAAGAGATTTTGAGCCCATTGTATGCATTACTTTCATGTTCTTCATTGACAAATTTCCTCCTTGAACCAGTTTTTCTGAATATGCGTTAATTCTTACGAAGGACAGATATTAACTGTACTATTTATACACTATGGACTGACAAAGAGTCTTGCATCCTTAGCGGCACAAGGAAAGATGAGTACCTGATGAGTAAGCTTCCTCTAAAGGTAGAAAAAAAGGTGAAAAGATTAAAATATGCCGCATAACTTCGAAAGAAGAGACACCAAACTAATTTACACTGTTTTTTGTGGGGCAGGTAAAAGTAATTAACCCAAAAGTACGGCTCCATACTTTTAGTTACATCATATTCGTCTACACCGCGCTGGTGATCAATGATTGTATGACAGGTAATAAATCGGACATTGTATCACCACACTCATCAGTCGGTATTACTCTCCACCAAGCGCTTGTAGATCATTTGGTTAGGTCTCACGATAGTTGGCTTGAAAAACAGCCTGGATGAGATTGGGATTTGTGCTACTGTGAATAAAATTGCTACAAAACGTGACAAACAAAAGCAACAACAACAATTCTGACACAAGGTTGCTGAAAACTCTTCGACAGCCCACGACCGGTTTCGCTCTTTCTGGGGCTCATCAGTTAGGTAAATGAGTGTAGTTCTCGGAAGCAGCCCAAGTTGGGTTCAAGTAGAACATAAGGTTGACGGAAATCCGGGGACTGCGCCTACCTGATGAGCTCCAAAAAGAGCGAAACCGGTCGTGGGCTGTCGAAGAGTTTTCAGCAAACTTGTGAGTAGTCTCCTTTATGAAATACTGCGATGTCTCGAAAATCGTGCCAACTAAATCACGAGACGGCCTGTGCGCAGCACATTCAGCTGGAGGACAGCATAAACGAGAGATTCAATTGAGTCTCCCGTGAAAACCAAATTGATTTGCAAATGAGCGTATTTCCCGAATTCTGACACAGGTTCAATAGCGGTGAATTCCACGCATTGGCCTAATAGATTGCTGCTGAGTCAACAAAACTGTGGTCCAAAATCCGCCCTTGAAGTTGACTTTTGGGTTTAACTTCCACCAAAAGCCGTTGGTACCTCTACTGAATACTCCCATTTAACGGGAGACTCAGCTTAATCCAGCTGAATCTCTAGTTTATGATGATCTCCTTTAATTGAATGCGCTGAAGCAGGTCGCTTCATGTCTCAGCTGGTACGATATCCGAGATATGGTAGCACATTCAGTTGAAGAAGTCTATCATAAACAAGAGATTCAGCTGGATCCAACTGAGTCCTCCATCAAAACTAAGTTTGTGTAGAAACAGGTGCATCTGGCGAGCTCCGTCTATTTTGAGTTCAAGTAGAGCATAAGGTTGACAGAAATTCTGAACTGCACTCTCCAAGGCGGGCTAAACCGATCGTGGGCGATCAAGTTTTCAGAAACTTCATGGGTAGTGTGTCATGCTGTTCATTTTTTATACACTAGGTGCACTTCTTGGACTAAACTTGTACCAGTTCTATGGTCACCTCTGCTTCGTCTCATTACTGGGGATTGGTTCTGGGACAATTATTTACGAAAATTTATCCGCAGATACTCGTGAACACCAGTTCGTCCGATTTCCTCGTTTGAAGTAACCAGTGTTGCTTAAGTGTCTGAACTATATATAGTAGAAATTAGACGGATTCTATAAACACAATTTTTTCTGTAATTTTTACAAGAGGGTAAAGGTTCCCATGAATTCATAAGTGGGTCACACACCTTAAGTATCGGAAAGACATATGGCTCTATTAACACAAAAGCAAATTGGCACCTGGAAGTCTGCCTTAACTCACCGTCATTTTAGGCAGAGTGGGGGAGGAATGAGCCCAAATAGCGCCATTTCAACTTTAGGCCAACAATCCGGAAAGAAGCCATGGCACGCCTGTACAACTAGGTTAGCTACCGTGTCATGTACGTATTGGGTGCAGAAAACCACGTAAAGGTTTATGGCTTATTCTTACTTATGTAAGTACATGCATGACATGATGCAAAGTGAACTTGTAGTTAAGAATCATCCTCAACCGAAAAAGCCCACCGATGCATTCAACTAGCAAATCATTTACAAGGCGAAGATACACAACTGTGGTCTTTTGCGTGCACCTCGGAGTCTGGTCCCCACAGCAATCTGCAGTCGACCATTTTTAATCTGAACCTTTCCTCACGGGAATATCATTGTGGCTTGGAAACCAGAGGCATTTTCTTCCGTTGCAAGCTTATTAGATGGTGACAGTTGATGAGGACAGTAGTTCTGGTAATCCAGCGTAACACCATAAAATGTGCACGTCAGTTACGGACAGGATAATGTGAAGTGTTTTAATTGTCGACTGCCATCTGTATTATGAGGATTGACTAGAAATAAAGCATTGGTCAATATGCCTCACGATCCGTTTCTGCTAATCTTTTAGTAGCGCGCATATTTTAGGAACATATTCACACTTTATAGACGTAATGCACTACTCATAAGGTTGCTTAAAAATCTTCAACAGCGCACAACCGGTTCCGGCCTTTTCGAGAATCATCAGGTAGGCGCGCTCCACGAGTTTCCGTCAATCTTGCGTTCTACTTGAACCCAAATTGCACGAAGTTAGCGAAATGCACTCATTTGCACGCCGATTTGGTTTTGATGACCGATTCACCTGGCCATCAAAATTCCAAAATTGAGCGAAACGGTAGAGCACAATGAACGTTGAGGAACTTTGCCCATTTTTCACGGAAACAGAATTGTTTTTAATGTTTCCGCTAAATCATTGAATCTGCGTGACCATCCACCTTGCCACTAAAGACACGGTCGGTCAGCAAAAATGTGGCAGTGGAAACTGCTGCTCAGTATCCCAATGAGGATAATGCTGTTGATCTCCACGTCTATATTTTAGGCTAATACTCTAATAAGCTGAACTGAAGGTAGACTGACACAAAAAGTGGTCATGTTTTTCGAAACATTTAACACACCACTGAAGAAAGTGTGGAGCGACCCTCAGATTTGAACCTTGTAAGCGTTTAGACTGAGTCAACTGAACCTCAGTTTTACTACCGCTTATTATGTAAAGCTCCTTACATGGTTCTCGCCTACTTATTGATAGGAACAATATTAGTCTACCGTGAAATATGATGCGGGAGATGTAATCAAACATGGTCAAATAGGGAGCATTTTGACGGTAGATTATGCAACAGGCACTGAACTATACCACGATTTTGGATTAAAAGACAGGATTCTGGGATGGCGGGAAAACTCACCAACAATTGGAAGGTCCTTTAGACTGCAGTTCCGATGGCCGTACAAGCGCAAGTTTAAAACAAATGGAAGTTACGTGATACACTTGCAGTTAGCTGTCACGAAGTCTTTTGAAATGTACAGTCAGGCGACACAACATTTCAAGGGTAATGCGGAATCAGCCGGTAAACAACATTTTGTCACCCCCTTTTTCTAGGCTGGATTTTACTTGCTTTATGTACGGGTGTATTTGCACCCTCGGAAAGGTTCATCAATGTGTTTCGGAATTTCCTTCGCTCCGCTTCCACGGAATTCGCGCGACTTTGTTTGCATCGCCTACATCGCACGTGTAAGAATGGCGAACGTAATCAACCACCGAGTTGGATCGAACTTCGTGCCACACGACTGAAGTCCGGTATCCCACTCTCTGTGACCTGCATGGACGGCAGAGTATTCAATGTGTTGGCAGATTCGGCTACCACGGCAGGTGAGGTGTGCCGCGCTTTGGCGAAGAAAGTGAACCTTCAAGATGCCTTTGGATTTTCACTGTTTATCGAGGTCTTTGATAAGGTGAGCAATGCACTGTCGGCGGTGAGATAGTCGTAACTTTAAAACTGTATTATTCAAACCTGTCCGAGACTTTTTCTCCATCAGATGTCTGCAGGTATACTGTACGAGATCGAGTGAAAACTTGTGGGACAAAGTAATCTTAACGCTCAGTTAAGGGGCGAACTCTTGGCACTTGCAATGTCAATTCTGCCCATATGATCTAACCCTCATATTAGGGAAATATTCCGCTGGTCATTCATTCCACTAAAGAGAATGGAAGTAAAACCATCCGGGATGAATCGCAAGTAAGTTGGTTTATGAGTAGGCAGATGGAGCTGAATGCTAACCCATAGGCAGAAAGACAATTGTCGTGAACTGGATGCCTCAGCTAAACATGGCATTTAGCAAAGTATCGGATATCTTGGACAAGTATACGCCATCGAAGTAACCAGAAAATAGCACTAATAAATAAGGAAAAGTTCAAAGCTATATATTTCACCTTCCGTAGGTTTTCCAAAGGAGGGACCCCCCAGCCAAAGTATCATCACATCATGCAACAGCATTTGGATGTAGCCTAAAAATATTTGTCCGAAATCCGGAATAGCACGCATCAGAAAATAACATCGTTATGAAGCTTCTCAATTTTCTAACCGGTCAACTACATCTGCAGAATAGACTGGTGTGCACGTCATTTCAGATAATATGGCCCAACAGGATAACCGCCTATTCCGTTGATGATTTCCTCTGCACAGCTTGTCACAGAAGAATACTAGATAAACATGTTTATCCCAACTTTAGGTGTCCTCCTTAGGGAACACGTCGGACCATTTGATGGACGCCATTAGTCAGTGCGATAAATATGCATTGGAAAAAGGTGGCCGTGATGTGCATTCAACTTGGAACTTGTATTTTCGAAAGGAAATTTTCGCCCCATGGCATGATCCTGCATTAGATTCGGTTTCTACAAGTCTAATCTACAATCAAGTTACTCGTGGATTGCTGTATGGAGAGTATCGATGTGACAAGGTGAGTAAAACTGGATAGAGAACGAGTGACTCAATCCATGTTATTCCCAAATCCCATTGCACTCGTTGTACAACAGTGATCCACCTAACTATTTAGTATTTATTATCCTTTAATCTAAGGATTTTGTGTTTTTCTTTCTATATTGTCAAGGAATATCCGTTGTCAATTCTTCTCCTTTGAAACCCTGTCGTGAGATCATCACTGTCACTGTTTTTACTTTATGTGACAGTCAGAGTTCATTTTTGCTAGCACAAGTAGAATACCATAAACGAGAGATTCAGTTGAGTCTCTCGTGAAAAACCAAATTGATTTGCAAATGAGTGCATTTTTCGAAAATGAGTTTGACAATTTGTCTCCGAAACTAGCATGGAGGAGAGAAAAATTCGAGCGCTGTGGCCTATTGACTAATCTTGAAGCTATCAGCAGTCCTACACTGAAGTTTCCCACTACGCACAGAAGTAGTGCACATGGAAAGCCTGATCTAACCTGAAAAAAACAACTGTGTCCATATGATTTACGGTGTGCTGAGTGCTACAGTACCTACGTTAGCCAAACCATCAAGCAACAATAAACACGGTAGATATTCTCGGTTACTTCGGGGAATTTCAGAAGGCTGATCATACTGAGGTAAGTTTTAGATAAAGCGCTGCACACACGCACCGTGCGGGTCCTGCAGCAAAATCCACATGCACCGTAGGATTGAAATTAGATGACTGATTTCCATTATTCAACTGCCGCATGGCACGCACCTCCACAAAACCTGAAAATTTGACTCAGTTGATGTAACACCCAGTCGATCTATATTTTTGGGAAGAAGGCAGGTACGTAAGTCTGGCGTAAAGTAAGTCATGCCAATCACTTTACCCGCTTTCATATGCGTGGTCACATGATTCGGTAGCTGAGTTGGCTGATCGTGCATGTGTCTCACACAGGATAAAATGGATGTCAGGGTACCTGGAACCAATGAAGATCAAAGCTGATTGGAGGTCCAGCTAACTGCATCGGGTTAGTCGTCAGGTATGACAGTGTATCTTGTAGTCCGTCACTTATGGCATCTTGTCCGCTGGTGCAACAATGAAGGACTGGGCACCTCTGATGGCCTCGACCGTTCATGACGAATCAGGTCAGTGAGCTATCGACCAAAGTGTCTGTTGTGCTGCGCCACATGTGAGTGTAGACACAACACAGTGATTCAACAGCATCTTCACTGCTCCTGTCTAGCCTTGAGCAACATCCTACTATCCCAGTCCTCGTGCTTCCTTCAGGTGTCATGACAGCTGGAAACCAGATGAATGCTTCAACGGACCAAAAGACACCCCCTAGAGTTGACTAACGCCTAAGCTTTTCGGTTGGAAGTAGGTTTCCATAAGGTAAAGGTTATTTTGCGTCAGACGGCAACGGGAAGCATTGGCTGAGTGTTCCAACAACCGAACGAAACGCTCGGGTTTTTTTGAAGGCGTGCACCCTGCGGCACTTACAGATCCGTGGAAATCAGACTCTACTAAGCATCACACCGTCGCAATTAGTTAAACTCGGTAACAATTTTTTTGATTATAGGCACAAAATGCCAGAGTCATGATTTCGTTTTCGAGTCCATTAAACTACTCAAGTTTATGGAGGTATGTCATCTCTAGCATTTTTTCAAACGTATTATATTCCGAGAAATGCCCAAAATAGAAGCAGTAAAAATACATGTTGAGGGCAAAAAAGAATTGGGTCCGAAATCCTACGATGCTATCTACCACAGGTGAGCAAATGTACACAGCAAAACCCAAGTGTCCATGTTCGTGGGGTGAGTAAATCCACAAGCCTGTCATTGATCCGTACAGCGCAGAGGGAAGATACGTACAAAACCGCGCGCGGAATGATGGTCCTGTGACGTGCGTTGCGGTCGTCCATTCTGAGGGCGGTCCCATAGTTCTGATTCGTGGTACGATCTTAGAAAATTTCCATTAATAATAAGAACACAGATGGGTTGACGAACATGTTTTCGGCAAGGTCTTTTCAAGTCATACAATTTCAAAGGTTAAGAGAGTGGTATTTAACATATTTGAATGAGTGTGGTGTAAATGGACAGGAAATCGAGTGAGATGACATTGGCTACCTATCAAAGAACCATTAGTTCAGGTCGCCAATAGGATGACTTGAGCTAGTCAGCGCGGGGGGTGCTGTAGTTGTGTGTTCAGCACAACGTGCATGTGTGAGGAGAGGTGAGTTGGACCATGGTAAGTACAACACACGAACAAAGCGTTTTTGCCGACAAAGGATCGGGTCGCGATGTCGTATGGCGATAGCTTCAGCCACTGCAATTGTGCGCTGCTGTACTGATCTGGGTTGGTTAGCCGGCGCCTTGTAAACAACGCGGAAACTTTGGCTGGGTATCACGTTGTGTGCAGTGTCAGCTAAATGTTGTACTACGGAGCTGGTTATCGTCCTCCTGGTTCCAGAAGCTAGCCAGGGTGGATTGTGTTCCTTCATTCTTTGGCTGAGTTGCCTAGTCGTGCGTCCGATGTATTCCGCTGCACAGCAGCAAGAGAATGAGTAAACTAACATATTTTGGGCGTGGACCGGCACTCTATCCTTGAGATTAAAGGGGCACAAACGATTGCTGGTGAACCAGGTTCGGAGTTTTGCGGCCGGGAAAACTTTGTTCAGACTGGTGGAAAGTCTTCTGTTCAGTAGATCGGCCGGTATATCTCCCTTAAACGGGAGGTTAATGTAAACTGGTTTCCTTCCAGCTGTGGCTGTGATGGTGTTTGCTTCTTCCCTGTTCAAATGTTTTGTAATAAATTTGTCGGGGAATCCATTGTCTCTCAGGACGTTGGTGAGAGTTTGGAATTCTTGTTCCAGTGCATCCTCAGAGCATATTTTCTTCGCTCTGTTAGTTAGGCTGCGGATCAGGTTCCGTTTCTGCTTTAGTGGCACGAAGCTGCTAAAGTTGATGTATTGACCTGACCAAGTAGGTTTTCGGTACACCGATCGTTTCAGTGTACCATCGTGAAGTCGTTCAAGGCCAACATGTAGGAAGTGGAAAAAAGTTGTCGGTTTCTCCTTCCGAGGTGAATTGAATGGCAGTGTGGGCCTTATTGAACTCTTGTTGGAGTGATTCCAATTCGTGTTTGTTGTTAACAACGGCGAAGACGTCGTCAACATATCGGCAGTAGTGCTGCACATTCTCAATGTTAGCCTTTAAGGGACCATTTTCAAGTTTACTCATGAAAATGTCGGCTAGCATTGGGCCCAGTGGTGAGTCCATGGCAACGCCGTCAATTTGACGGTAGAGCATTCCATTGAACAGTGGTTGCACATTCAATGTGCATCTCAGGAGGAGTTCACGCAGCTCGTTGACTGTAATAGGTAGCTGAAAATTATTTGCTTCTATGTAGGTGGTTAATCGTTTCAGATAAGGGGAGGTTAGTGAACAGTGAAGTCACGTCCAATGAACACATGAACGAATCTTTCAGTTCTAGGTAGGTTATTGAGTCCACGAATTGAAACGTATCTCGCAAGTTGTATTGACACATTTGTCGCCGTATTGGTTCAAGCATTTTGACGAGCCATTGTGCGATTTGGTGATAGGGCGAGTTTTGCATGTCTAGGATTGGCCTCAGCGGGCAGTTGGGTTTATGGATTTTCGGCAAACCGTATAGGCGAGGCGTTGTTGACCCTGTGGGTTTGACTTTTTCGTAGGTTGTCTTAGAGATGAAACCGTTTGCTTTAAGGCGTTTCAGACATGTCACCAGTTGTTGGTCTATTAAGAGCGTTTAATCTTTGTCGTTGGCTGACTGACTGAACTTGGTTGCGTCAGCCAGAATGTCCGTCATTTTTCGTATATAGTCAGTTTTGTTCATCACGACTATTCCGTTACCTTTGTCGGGGCGACTGATGATGAAGTCATCGCGAGCACGTAGCTCCCTCAGTGAATCCTTGTGTTTCTTTGTTATCAGGTATTGAGGTTTGACATTATAATGGGTGTGTTGATAACAACAATTTACTAAGTCCGACTTGAAATGTTCTAGGTTGGTAGAGCTAATTGGAGGTAGTTGTCGGAGTTGATCATGGAGACTTTCAAATTGTTTCTCGATACTAAGGCGACTATCGATGTGGCGAGGGATACAGAATTTGGGCCCTAGCGATAGAGCTTCGATCACAGGCCCACACTGCCATTCAATTCACCTCGGAAGGAGAAACCGACAACTTTTTTCCACTTCCTACATGTTGGCCTTGAACGACTTCACGATGGTACACTGAAACGATCGGTGTACCGAAAACCTACTTGGTCAGGTCAATACATCAACTTTAGCAGCTTCGTGCCACTAAAGCAGAAACGGAACCTGATCCGCAGCCTAACTAACAGAGCGAAGAAAATATGCTCTGAGGATGCACTGGAACAAGAATTCCAAACTCTCACCAACGTCCTGAGAGACAATGGATTCCCCGACAAATTTATTACAAAACATTTGAACAGGGAAGAAGCAAACACCATCACAGCCACAGCTGGAAGGAAACCAGTTTACATTAACCTCCCGTTTAAGGGAGATATACCGGCCGATCTACTGAACAGAAGACTTTCCACCAGTCTGAACAAAGTTTTCCCGGCCGCAAAACTCCGAACCTGGTTCACCAGCAATCGTTTGTGCCCCTTTAATCTCAAGGATAGAGTGCCTGTCCACGCCCAAAATATGTTAGTTTACTCATTCTCTTGCTGCTGTGCAGCGGAATACATCGGACGCACGACTAGGCAACTCAGCCAAAGAATGAAGGAACACAATCCACCCTGGCTAGCTTCTGGAACCAGGAGGACGATAACCAGCTCCGTAGTACAACATTTAGCTGACACTGCACACAACGTGATACCCAGCCAAAGTTTCCGCGTTGTTTACAAGGCTCCGGCTAACCAACCCAGATCAGTACAGCAGCGCACAATTGCAGTGGCTGAAGCTATCGCCATACGACATCGCGACCCGATCCTTTGTCGGCAAAAACGCTTTGTTCGTGTGTTGTACTTACCATGGTCCAACTCACCTCTCCTCACACATGCACGTTGTGCTGAACACACAACTACAGCACCCCCCGCGCTGACTAGCTCAAGTCATCCTATTGGCGACCTGAACTAATGGTTCTTTGATAGGTAGCCAATGTCATCTCACTCGATTTCCTGTCCATTTACACCACACTCATTCAAATATGTTAAATACCACTCTCTTAACCTTTAAAATTGTATGACTTGAAAAGACCTTGCCGAAAACATGTTCGTCAACCCATCTGTGTTCTTATTATAGATGGTACGATCATACAGGCGTACGACAGGGCCAATCAAGACAGGTGGAACATTTGGAGTATGGGCTTGGACGGGTAAGAAGGCGCAGTCGCACACACGCATATCGGGTGTAACGGCCGGTGTGGCAGAGCGAATGGCAAGTACAGAGGCAGTAATAGTACATAATGTGTGAAAATTGGTAGGCACACAGTCGCAGCTTGTAAATAAATGGGGTATTATCAGGCTGTTATGTTAGATTCAGTGCTAGCCGCCATAGTCTCCCCACATTTGCATTCCCCATGAAATCACTGTTAAATTCATTTCGTGAACTAAGGCTCTCAACCAGCTGATCCATCATTATTGCCGGAGTCTTCTCCAGTTTCGGCCTTGTATTCGTTTTCAGACCTAGGTGCCTTATTGGATTCTGTTTCGAAGTACCTCGGCGATTAGTTTTCCTATTCCACTTACTGTTGCAATGGAAGCGATCTGCAGACAAAAAGCGTATGTGCCCTTCCCAACGTCCTCATCTTTTGCCGAAAATATTTCCACAAATTATTCCACCGGGGGAACTGAGTTCACGAGAGACGTTAAGTGCAAGTCGTTGCTGCACGATGCATATCTCAAACTGGTCACCAAGTTGACTGTTTTCAGTTTTTAACAATCCCCGTACCCGGTGAACACCCGAAACTGTTGATTTTTTCCTAAGCAAAGCACGGCTACCAGTGCGGCACAAAAACGGGTGATTCTAATCGCTCGCCTCCTTCGGAAGTGAATTTATCTGTTTAGCTTCTTTCGTAAGACAAAATGCTTACAGGCACAGCATTGCTTGGAGTTTTTGGCTAATGCAATTAACTTCGCGTTGTTTTGATAAAGTTGGCATAGAAATTCATGGTCGCATGAAAACAAAATGTCAATCTTTCTATAAAGTCCGTTTGTGCTAGAGACATTTGGTAAGGCAGCAGGTTTCCTAACAATTAAACACGTGTTGCTACACATGGACTCAGCCGCTAGTGTTAACTAAATGAATGTACCTATCCGAGTCTTTTTAATAAGATATATCAGCGTTGCACTATTTCTACCGAAAAAAGACTATAGCGTCACCCCACTGACTTCATCTCAGTAAGAGGCAGAACAAAGAACCTAAAACACTACAAACTAGACGCATTTTGGCAAAAAATGTACTTGCCAGCATCACTTAACAGTGGATTCCATAAAACGATCGGTGATTGACAACGGTTGGGAATGTTGATCCTCGGTGAGAAGCATACATATTAAACGCTAGCCTTCGTTTTAGGAGGCATACGGCTTTCGAGTTGGTTTTTATAAATGCCTATATTCTTTTCGTCAAACTGCACACAGAAATCTGTTCTTGCCCTGCTATTGGCTTGCAAGTATTACGTCGACCTTTGTGAGGCACGGGGGAACAGTGAGCGGCTGGCCCATATTTCTGTGGAAGCAGTTCAAACCTGGTTAACCAGTTGGAATTGTCCATGGATTAAAAGTACCGCTGAATGGGTGAAGCAGATGTTCACGGTCAGTATGCCTTTATGGAGTGGTTTCACCTCATCTTTAACTCATATCTTTCAATATTATCCGCTAATATAATGTTTTTATTTCATTTCGTTCACTCGTTCATGATTTTGCTGCGACGTTAACGGCGAAGGGACTTCTGACACTGGTAAATGATATTCCATGGATTTATTCGTCCAGAATGTCTTTTATCCTCAGGAGCAAAATACCCCGACACGATGGTTAGTCTAGTAGACACAGTGCAACGAGGCGCAAAACTGAGAGTGATTGGAAGCTCGGTGGCGCAAAACGAGAGTGATTGGAAGCTCGGTGCCCAGTCAAATCCAGTAAAACACATGGGCAACAACATGCCGATGGGGAAGGATCCATACAGACCATCCTGGAATGACGTATCTCCCTGGGAAACGATTAGTCGTTCTTCTTCCTCGTTTGTTGGCGTGCGTCTTTCTTATGAGCGCCGCGACTTCTGCGTCAACAACTGACACAAACAAACGAAATTTCAAAATCCCATGACTTATCTGCTTGTACTGTATAGAAAACATGGGTTATCTGGGGTTAGTATTTTGAGAAACCGCCTTCCGAGCTAACTGAAATCATGCTCGTCCAGCGCATAGGCAAATTGTAATTCACACCTTGCTGAAATATGTAAATATCAGTCGATTCAAAATAAACTCGACCAGTAAAGTTTTGTCTACATCATTCGTCAAAAATTAAATCAGGGCACAAAACCACTGGAACACCCAATGATGACATATTGCAGGCTTGAAAATGTTATTCAGAAGAATTTCATGCTGATAATTTTACCTAATCCACTCCTTTGTTGTCTGTTCACACGCCAGCCAGTTGACAGCTCTACAGTATATTCCTTAGATCGGACTCGACTATGCGCATCAGTTAGATTTCGCAACCGGAACGTGCAACCATCAAACGTGCAAACTGGAGGTTGATGTCTGGCAAGCCAACTTTAACTGTCCCTCAGGATCCTGTATATTTTGATAACAGAAAGCTTTTCATCCAAAGACCTTGTAGCATAGCAAATGACATGTGGCGCATGTGCGCAAGATATCGGGCGATTACACTTACATCGTACAGCTAACTGCAGTTAGGGATTGCGAACTTGTAGCTAACTAAACAGCACAGTATACTTGTGGACTTATTAACTGCAGCGTACAAAGTGATATAATCTGGCTTGCCTGAAGAAGTGCAGTTTAAAGTACACTTTGTCAAGCATAACAATAGTAAGACTGTCCCAGAGCGCACAGGTTAAGTATAACATTTCATTCAACATCGCTTTGAATCACTGTGCGCACGTATCACCGACAACCACGTGTTTGACGGTGTCGAACCTCTCATCTACGTTTTCTGGACGATTGTGCTCAACCACAGGATATGTAAGAAAGAGTAAAATCAAAGACTGTGTTAAGCGCACTACCATGTGTGTGTATTAATTTCGGTCATAGGGTGTAAACTATTCGTTCCCATCGTTTTCGAGAAAAGTTTGATGACAATCGGTAGATTTATTGCTAGGCGACGTTTCACTTTTGACACAAAGGCTTCGTCAGGCCAAGTGACTAGGTTCCGAGGTTGGTGGAGATTTAAGGCGGAAGGAGAACCAATCAGCTGAGTCAAGCTAAATCTCTGTTGGGTGTTTACCGAGGGATTTTAGTGTGTTAGAGTGGTTGAACAAGTGTTGGGTCGGTGGGATACCTACATGTGTTTGGGTCCAGCCTAGGGTCTAGCTCTTCTGGTTCGGTTTATTTGATGGTCTCTCTTGAGCCTTCTGTCCGTCTGTGTGGGTGAGCTAGTGCCAAGATAGTTGTGTGAGATGGATAATGTGACCTTTGGCCGGGTTGGGATTTCCAACCCCACACACCCCCGGTTTTTTCTAATGATCCTACGTGAATGGACAACCACACCGTCACGTGTCGACTCGGCTTATCTAAGACCCCTTTCCGTACGCTCGCCAGTTCCACACCCTCAATTCTATTCACGCTGTGATGCTTAGTAATTTCCACCGCCTCGGCTATCAGCCGCTGTGGTGTGAATCGCAGTCCCCGTCTTACAATTTCCCCACTCTCTAGATCTATTTTATGTCCCGTATTTAAGGCATGTACCACCATCACTTAGTCTTTGACCAGTGCTTGGTTTTCTTCTGCATTCCTTGGTGGTTTTTTATGCCCACCAAATCTGGCGTGCATTCCAATCGTTCCCACTTACATCCAGCGGAGCCTCAGTCATTGCCAAACTCAGCTGATTGATCGGAGACCAAACTGTTGACATAGGGAGCCAAAGAATATTTGTCACCTTCAGCT